CAAAACAGTCATAAAATATTTTTACTTTTCACTTTTTTATTTTTATTTCATAATAATTCTAGAACCAGCATTCAACCGAGGAGCAGCAAGGTCTGGTCTCTGAATTTTCTGCAATTCTTTTCTCAATTTTGTCATGTTTTTGTTGTGTTTTGTCAACTGACGATGTTTATTTCTACAGGGTGAGGAGTTTGTTCAGGAGAGACGCTTCTTTCATTGAGATGAAGAAATTGAGATATAAGCCCTTTCTTTCATAGGTCATCATGGGAAACATCAACTCTGCCCAGCAAAAGCGATGGTAAAGACTGAGAAAGCATACTATGAGTGCAGTCTCCTGTGTTTTCCTCAAACCTGGTTGAATCAAAAAAGCTCAGACTCCAGTGTAGATCTACCTGGCTTCACTCTTTCAAGGTCAGACGGAGATGCTAAAGCTAGTGGCAAGAAGAAAGGAGGAGGTCTGGCTTTATTTGTCAACCACAGATGTTGTAGGTCTTCACACATAACTGTCATGGAAAAGTTGTGTTGTGAAGATATTGACCTGTTGGCAGTTGCTCTTTGGCCATTCTATGTTTCAAGGGAGTTCAGCCATGTCATAAAAACACTTGTTTACATCCCACTCAAGGCAACAGCTGAAGTTCTGTGTTGGGTTTCAAGTTTCATTTCATTGGAATCAAGTTGGACTCACTGGAGGACGTGGTGGAGAGATGCACACTGAGGAGAGTGGAGGCTATTCTAAAAAACATGGATCATCCATTTCATAAAATTTTAATGGACCTAAAGACCCACAGTGGTGGACAGTTCCTATCTCTTCACTGCATGACGGAGAGACTCTTTTGCCATCAGACTTGATAATTCTTCTGTACAGATGAGATGAAATTCCAGATAAATGAATTCCTCTTTGTGGATCATCAAAGTTCTAGTATTGTATCATATTTTGTGTGTGATGAATAGGTAAGTTTTACTTTTTTAATTCACCCCACCTCACCCCCCAAACATGAAAAGATGACAGGACTGAACTACCATCTAGTTTGGTATTATTTTCTACTTTGTTTGCTTCATCTGGCTTTCAGTAGCCTATAAAGCTTACCACAATGAAAGTACACTGCCCCATAAAGAGAGGTTCACAGCCTGGTATCCCAGAGCAGGGCTGTTTCATTATAAGTAGTGGGACTCTTTTTTGTTATTGTATGCTGCTGCCAGAAAACAAAATCACTTTTATGTCAAGCTCAAGCCAACACTGAAAGCCCTGCCGGATTGCAAACAGCTTCAGCATCCGTTGACAGAGTTGCTGCAGCACCGTTACCATAGAAACATTCAGCGCTCAAAGTACTAATCAAAAGTATTTAGATTAAATTAAAGTTAATACTAGATAAATGAACACTATTGACTTCTTTAGCCCATAGTTGCATGAGAGAATGTGATACAGCAGCTTCATTTTGCAGCAAAGATTCAAAAGTGACCACAGAAATTATTGTAATGATAATGCTGGATCACACAAAAGGTTAACAGCATTTTAAAGTGTATTCATACTCTCTAAAGAATCAGGTCAAACCATAAAATAGACTCCAGTTCTACCTGTAGGGCAGTGAAAGATGGAAAAACAGTGTATCTGCAGTTAACACAAAGAATACCTATCAAAGTGATATAATGGCTCCACTCAGTGAGAATGTGAGTGCAGAACAGATGCATGACCGAGGTTTTAAATCGAGAAGAGGAAGAGAGGGTCAATGAGGGAAAAGCAAACAGAAAAAGGAAACATAAAAAAGGACTGATGGACAAAAATCTGGACAAGTTTCCTAAAAGCCTCTTAAGAAGGGGAGCAAAATGGAAGCGTGAAAGCACTTCATGGTTTTATTACTGTCACCCTACAGCCTACAACCTTTTTTGTCTTCAGTTTGTTTTTGTAGCTAACTCAATGAGACTGAACTCTTGGTAGAAGTGGTGACTATGTTCTCTTACTGTTAATTCTCCTGTTGCACTTGGACAAGTTTTTTTTACCACATCATGGGTTTATGGACACACAAGGAGAGTCTTTCAATAAAAATGCATCATGTAAACATGTCGATTGGAAGATTCTGATCCAATTCAGCTCAATCGGAAAGACATTTTATTCTGATCGAAAGGGGTGGTAAATGCCGATTGTTATTCCGAAACAAGTCCATGTAAACACTTATTCCAATCATGACTCTCTTACCTGACTCGATCTTCACTCTTTAGCCTTTGGTTTATTTATTGAGGCCAGGAAAAGAGGCTTCATTAATAACACTCTGGCGTAGAACAAAACCGCAGAAGCCATGTCTGCTCCGTTAACATAACAAGGCGTACATACAGTGTAATGATGTCACATCTGCGTGCACAGGGCAACCTTTGACAGAACAGTAAAATAAGTACGCAAGAGCGCCATCTATTGACAACATTTAACTGGGGGAAAACTCCTGAATTGGATGAAGTGAGTCAATACCGCGTTTGTTGGTTTGTTGACAGCACAGGCGTAAATACAATTCTTCTTCTGCGGTTGTTTTGGCGAAATCGGACAACTCTGCACATGTCCAAAAGCTTAAAACCTGAATAAAAATTGGTGCATGTAAACCCACGTCATCATCGGATTATTTGATTTTGCACCCGTATAAGCAGTGGATTCACATTATCTGATCCCTCGGATCAAGAAAATTTGCCTATATTAACATGGCTAGTGCTTTGAAGACCAACAGTGAAGCAGTCTAGGTCTCTTAATTCAATTAGCCATAGAGGCTCATACAAATCAATATTGTGGACACATCTGTACACACACAAGTACATATGTTGATGTTTTTTTCAATTACACTCACTCACCAGGCTGAACTGTGGCTATGAATCAAATTGTTGAAAATCTCTGCACATCTTGGTGAAGTCATGCACCTGCATACCTAAGTGGATAAGGAGTAGAACATAAACCACATGCACTGTCTTTGTCATTCAGATGAATTTATCTAATGCACTGACAGCAGACCTTCAGGGCATGTAGCTGCCGCTGCCTGAAGTCTGCTCCCTCTCCCTGATAAGCTGGATGTTGCCTGGATGTGACATGTGGGCTTGTGACTGGGATGTCACCAGTATAAATCAATGAGCCTGCAAAGGACCATCTCTCTCCTTTCTTCCCCCTCAAATATACAAATACCCTTGACACAGTGACTGACAAGGGCAAACATACCACAAAGGGTTTACATTATGAAAAAAGGGGTTAAAATCTCAGGGGTAATGATTATTCACTTGGGGCTTGAATCTGGTTGCTGATGCATTTGTTCCAGCTTATTTCATTACAGTTTTTTGCTTGCAGCACATTTTTGTAGCAGCTGCAGCTCAGCAGTAGAGCAAGGCATCTTCTAAACAGAAGATTGACAGATTGATTTCTTGCTCCTGTGATCTACATATTGAGGTGTCTCACAGCGTAACAACAAACCTCAGATTGTATGAGTTTGATTTGTTCTCGATGGTTGGTTGATGATTGCACTGCTGACTCTGTCTTTGGAGACTTAACACGATGTAGGTTAGAGGAAAGATGCTGTATCAGTGCTGTTCTTCACTGTAAATTTCTATATATTCTTAATAGTTATTATTGTTGTAGGATTTTCACTGCATTTTCAGAAAAGAAACTACAGCGTCTTTATTCTCCAATTGACCCTCTTATGGGGCGCTCACAGTGAGCTCAAAATCATCTACTCGCTTAATTCGTGTGAATCCAGACGCGTGAATGAATTGTATTCACTTGCTTCATCCGGGCCTCAACAGTAATTTCAATGGTAATCCTTGCCAATTCAGCCGGCGGGATCAAGTGATAGACAAAGGTTTTTTACAATTTACCAGGTAATGCGACCTCTTCACTCACGTGCCTCCAGGTGAGCACCTTTTTATTCCGGTAATTGAAAGAAAAGGTATTATATAATTCGAGGCACCCACATACTGACACAATCAGTTTGTTTTCCATGTTAGATACCAGTGAACAACTGTCCATTTTTGTACGTCACCCGGCAACCTTCATGCTGATTAGTTATCGCAACACAAATATCCACTCAAGTTGAGACATATTCAGCTCCTGCCCAATTATTTGCGCCACAAGAAAAGTACGAGCATCTTATTGCGTCTTTACATTGACATCTTTACTTAACATGTAATTCATTTGCGCAAATGGTGCCTGGAGACAGTCAAAGCTCCCATGAGAAGTTTATTTACATTCATATAATGCACTGAAATTCGTATTGATGCCTTTTCATGATATCCAAAAGCCAACGACACCGTCTGCAGCAAGATTCAGCAGGATTTTTATGTGGTAAATTTTAATGCCAAACTGGTGCAAGGGAAGTAGGTGTCAGCTGAGCAACAGAAGAAACAGCTCTGTTTTTACAATTTGCACATAATATTTGTCCACATGGATGCAAACTGGAAATTCCTCACAGGAGCTTTAAGAAACCAAGCCAGTAAAAAGAAGGCAAAGACAACTTAAAGGGATATTCCAGCGTAAAATTAAGTTACGGTCAAACACACTGTAACACCGGGTCTCTAGTTATACTGCACGATAGCAATACACAGCGGCTATGGATCCACGCACAAAAGCCACTCTATAGCCACTAATAATGCTCAGAACAGCACCTAACTTCATCAACAGTACATATAGGGTCCCAGCAATAGTACTAGCCACCAAACATCTTTTAAGCTTTGCTGTTGGGTCCTGTCCTGACCACCATATGTGGCTATTGGTGGCCACGCTGTGTATTGCTATTCTGTGGTCATTACTAAAGTTGATATAACTAGAGAAGCAAGCAGTCAGCAACAGTCATCTCTCGAGTCGGTGTCTAACTTGCCCTTACGGTGTGTTTGACCCTAACTTAATTTTACGCCGGAATATCCCTTTAACATTTACTGACAAGACTACTGGCATTAAAAGAAAATAGTGCGCTTTTATTGTGTCCACTTTTATTAAGAAGATCCACTACACTTGAAAGAACCTGCAGGTGTGATCTTAAGCCAAGCACTTTTACCCTAAATGGCTGCTCAGACGCCACCAGGGGAAAGCAGTGAGCTGAGCAGGAGCTTTTAGGAGGATGCTTGAAAAAACAAGTCTTTCATAATGTACAAGCACACCACACACATCTTAGACATACTGATGCTGATGTTGACCCCCTTTTCCCACTTACAACCTCGCAGCTACGATGAGGACCTTTAGAGACCCATCTTTATCTTTTGCTTTGTAAAAGATTTTCGCAGGTGTATCAGCAAAGACGCTTCCCTCTCCTCTCTTGGCTTCTTTGTCCCCACACTCTCCCTCTCTCCAGGACGAAAGCGCACGGCACGCTCTTGAGCAGCACATCAGTGGGAGAGCAGCGCAGCAGGCGGAGACGAAGCTCCACTGACCCGCACAACACGAACCTCCGCGTTCATCCACACACACATACACAACAAACCACAGGGCACGATGTCTTCATTCAAACACATTAATTTCACGGAAACGATTTTTTCCCCTTTTTCTCCTTACGCTCCGTCCTAGTGCGTCTTGTAGTGGGAACGAGATGTCCTGGATTTATTTTCTCCGGAGAGAGTGAAAGTGGAGGGAAGCGCAGTTCGCTGGAGCCATGTGGAGGGCGGACACGTCCCTTGATGGGAGCACCGCGGGCGAAAAGCGACACTGAGAGGGGGACAATATTTGCATCTATTTTCTGGAGACAAGGATCCGTCAATGAGGATACAAAGAGAGAGGAGATGGTAGAGAAGTAAGTGCACTTAAAACTAGTTTCAATTTACCACTCTATTGAACAAAAAGATGTCATGACTTTGCACGACTCCAGTGGTAGGGACCAAAAAAGGGAAAACATGGGGATTGTGAGTGGCTGAAGTGATTCTAGTGACAGTTTCTGGTGACATATCCTGCCCTGTCCCTTTTTGATGTTGCGTCTTATTGATAAACTCATTTTTAAAGGCTATTCAATAAATTTACAGTATTTTGGCTTGATTTAATTGGAACAAAATAGAAGTGAAAATAAAAACACTCGTGCATTACAAGGCCGATTTTACCATACAGATATAGTAAAACAAACTTAGCTTCGAGGTTTATTTCTCCTGCTTTCAGCTCACCCTCTGCGCAAATTGTTTACTGGTAAATACGAGGACCTCATGGGGGGTTATGCAATTGCATCTACTGTGCAAGCTGTTTGGCAAAATGGGACTGTGACAAACAGGGTTTAAATTTTAATGAGCTTTCATTCAGTTGTTATGTGCATTTGTGGGACCCAAGATTACCATTCTTTTAGTCATGACTGCTGTGAATGAACAGAGAAAAAATGTCTGCTCAGATTTTCACATTGAATGTTTCATATCCACATGTGTACTGAAAAACTCCACATTTGGATATTATATCTCAGCACGACAGGAAAGCAATCTGTTAAAGTTGAAACAGCTGGGTCCTCCTGATCAATCTATTCCCCATCTACCTCAAAGGAGGAAGCCCTTAAAATGCACTGAGTTACACATTTATGTAAGACTGTTCAGGCAAACAGTGTTTTAAATGGAAAGTGCTGTACCTGTTGAGAATGTCTGTGCTGTTTTGCTGGATCCTTGTTGAAAAAAAAAACAATACAAAAGTCAACTGGTTTGTGAAGATAAAGAGGCAGTTTAATCTGGTTTCCATATACACTACTTAAACTACATGTTTTACAAACATGATTCGGATATAAAACCATCTTAAACTGTAAACTGTGGCTACTTCGATGTAGTTAATGAAAAAAGACAGGACTGTGAGCTGAACTGCAGTGTTAGCATTAGCTTAGAGATAAGCAATGAAACATTGGCACAATAGTTATCAGGCTGAACTATACTATATCATTAGCTAAACTGTTTCATAACAGCACACAGCAACAAAACTTCACTCAGATATTAGCTAAGCTAAAATTATAATGATAGGTAGCCTATGTATTTACAAAAGGTGTAGCTTAAGCTGAACAGTAAATGCTAAATCAAACCATTATAGCTAAACAGAATATCCAGGCTATTAATCTCTACTGACAGCTAAATTGCTTAAAATTAAAAAAATAAAATCTAAAAATCAACACTGTTAGCTCAACTGTGTCTTGCACAAAAGTGAACACATAGCCTTGAATTGGACTACAAACTGCAAGGGAGTCTCTTCAGGAGGTTTTTTAGTCTGCTAGATCTTTCCAGGAACACACTGAAGATTCCACAGTTACAGTGTAGTGAGCACACAGAATACTTGTCTGGTAGTCATTGCTTCCTGTTACCACAGGTGGCCCTAAAACATATTTGAGAAGTATGAGAAGTAAAATTACTGGACAGGACCTGCGACAGCTGAACATCTAGAGCTCAAAGAAAAGGAAAAGATAACCCATTTTACAGAAATGATTGAATGGAATCATAATTTGCTTGAATTGATTTCACTCGTTCTTAGTGATAACACTTTTTTCACCCAGGACCTTTTTTCAAATTATTCATTTTCAGAACAATTTTCTTAAGAAATGCTCATCCTCTGCTTACAGCTTCTTCAAAGTGACAATTTAGCACATTCAAAGACTTAATCTTGGTTAGTTTTCTTTTGGAAATTTGTGTGGTACAGTGGACCTTTTTTGGCCTGACACCACAACATTAGCTGGGAGTAAAAAATAAGTAAAACTGGAGGCTAACAGGTACTGCCGCCACATGCTGTGTTATCTTTTGCCAATGTTTCAAACAAGTCAAAAACAATTTTCTGGCTAGTGCTGGTTTTTTTCCTTGTCTTGAGCTATGCTGGAAAAAATAAATAAATAAATAAACCTCTTGCTGTTAACTAACTATGAAATTGTCCAAGGCTGAAAAGACGTCATATGACATATTATCTGCCTATACGTATATCTAACCAAAATGATTTTGGTTGTTTTTCTTTTACACAGTGGCCGCACCTGACCTTCTTGACCCCAAGTCTGCCGCCCACAACTCCAAACCTCGTTTGTCCTTCTCGACCAAACCAGTTGTACTTAACACCCCTGATGACGATGAGTGTGATACCAGGACTACAGTCATGAGGTGGAAAACTGTGTCAGCCATCTTCTTCTTGGTGGTGCTTTACCTCATTGTTGGGGCAACAGTATTCAAAGCACTGGAGCAGCCTCATGAGACAGAGCAGAAATCAGCCATTCTTGAACAAAAAGTGATTTTCTTGACTATGCACACGTGTGTGAACTCTTCTGAGCTGGAGAACTTGGTTAAGGTAAGTCGAAGCTTCACAACCATATCAATTATTCAAATGTTTTCTCTTCTGCTGGATCTTCTGCTGACAACTAAATGCTTTGAATTATTTCACACAGATTTTCTTAAACTGGTTTTTAATCTTGTACTCAGAGGAGTAAAAGAACAATACTGTGGTAGACAGTGTTATCATTAAAATGGAAGCTTTGACTTTTTAATCAATGAATTCTGGGGTGTGATTGTAATTATAGGTTTTCAGACTGATGATCGTGAGCACTTCAAGAGATTCTTTTATGCCAGTGGTGGTTGGATTTTACTCATTTATTCTGTGACCCATGGAGACTCTGCTTTATCTTTAAAATATATTATATCCCAGAATTTTGTTAACCTGAAGACTAATGCTATGTCTCTGCATATTTTGTCTTTTACTTGAACTCTTGTGTCAATTGTTTGTTTCCTGTTTCCAACCAGCAGTGAGTGTTCTTCTTTTATCAGTGTCTGCAATCAGATTTCGTACTTTAACTTCAGGTTTACTATTTTAACCAGAGGTTCCCTGAATCCCACATTTTGGTCACTATGGCTGGTCAAACCACAATCTTAACCAAAAGCCAAACTAGGCTGGTTTTCCCATGCTTAAATTGTGGAATTGCCAAACATTACCTTCACAAGGCAGTTTGAATTGATGATGTATTGACTGTGATTTGTTTAGGGTATACAAAGCCACTCCCACTACAGTGCAATACCAATCTTCCACTCTGTTGTTGTTTTCTTATTGTTGTAGAGTCAAGATATCAAAGCTTAGAGCCAGGCATACAAACTGCTCCAACACAAATATCTATACATATGAAAAAGGCAAGAAAGTAGGAATAACATTCAGAATGAAACCTACCACCCAGACATGTTGTTGTAACTGCGGTTGCTACTCTTTACTGGTTGCTTCCTGTTCAGGGTAAGATTCTGTGTTGTAGGTTCTTCTGGGGAACTCACCATGTTTTGGTGTTTTTCTGCCTATGCATACTTCTGCAATGGTCTGCAGCTTTCCCCCCTTAGACAACATTCAAGCCACTCATCTGTGCAGCCCCTCACCATCACGGCATCCCACATAATAAGTTTAACGACTGAGAGGCACCAGAGTCTTGGCATAGGCTGAATTTGTGTCCGTTTTTTCAACTGAATTCAAAACCTTGCTTAAAAGACAGCTTGGACATGTTGTAAAACTGGCTAAAAATATTGACATAAATAGCACTGTCACATATGCAGTCTGAAAAGTCTGCCTCTAAAGTTGTTGTTGTTTACACATGTACCTTAGAGTGTAAGGTTTTCTCTGTAAGATTGAAAGAGATAGAGGAACACATTTGGACAGGGGTCAAGTGTCAAGACAGAGTGACATAAAAAGGGGAAAACAGAGAGGAAAAGATTGTAACAAAAAAGATGAAGAGAAATATATTAAGAAATACAACTTCACTAAGAGAGGGAAGAAGAGAAGAAAGAGGCAGAGAAAAGAGCAACAGATGGAGGGAGAGAGAAAACACACATAAATCTTGTATGTGTTTGAAGCTACAATTAATAGCTACTCTCATTTAGGTGTGTTCCAAACTGCAATTAACAGTTGCCATGGTGATAGGGCAACTCCACACTTTGAAGGAACCACCATCCCAGAAACAACCTGACAGGCTCACCAGCCCACCTGCAACTGCAACCCACAACCGCACAGCGCTGAGACCACAGAGCAAACAACAACACTCCTGCAGGACTGTGGCTAAGCAGTATTTACCTGTCAAAAAGTGTCAGTTTTCTGATGCATAATGAGTATTTAAGGGGAGGTAGCCCCACCATTTAGACTCACAACCTCATCTCTGTGGCACTGCAGTGCGTACCAACACAGCAAGCCTCCATCCTGTAACCTTACAGGACCAATCCAGAACTACACTTTTTGATACATAAAGGTAATTCTAACGGGGCATTCACGCCAAATACAAATAAAATCATTTACAAACATAAATCACATGTTAAGTCAGTGCAAAGATGCAATTAGATGGACATTCCACTCGGGAAACGTGAATGAAGCAGCAAATGGCACAAATTGAGCTGACTATGTACGTGAGTTGAGCAGATCAGAAGCACTAATGATGTGAATTTGCAGTGTGTCTGAGGCGCCTCTTGCTACAAACGCTTATCCACCAGAGTTGGAAAATCTGAATTTAAATGAACGTTCACGCCATGTTGAAGGGACATTCCGGCGTAAAATTAATTTAGGGTCAAACACACTGTAACACTGAGTTACCCCTAGAGATGAATGTTGCCGACCACTTGCTTCTCTAGTTATACCGACTTTAGTAACGACTGCGTGATAGCGATACACAGCGGTCTCAGGAGCCATAAACAAACCTCAACCAAAACGCCACTGCAGACAGAAGGCAGAACTACCACGTCTGCAGTACAAAATGATCAATATGGTGATTATTACCTTAAGGATATGATAAAGAAATGATCTTCTGCCTTAGCGTCTCGGTCTGATTGCATTTCTGTGAAGAAATGATCATAAATGTTCTTCCTTGAGCTGCGTCACCCCGCTGTAGTCCATAATGGACTGGCCTTTGGTCTTGCTACAAACAAGTGGCTGCTTGTTTGTAGTGAGAGAGTAGGTGAGTTGTGTTTAGTCTCTTTGCTCAAGAAATTGGGCAAAGCTTAAAAGATGTTTGGTGGCTAGTGCTATGGCTGGTATCCTATATGTACTGTTGATGAAGTTAGGTGCTGTTCTGAGCATTATTTGTGGCTATAGAGTGGCGTTTTGGTTGAGGTTTGTTTATGGCTTGCTATTGTTCAGTTGTTACTTAAGTTGGTATATCTAGAGAAGCAAGCGGTCGGCAACATTCATCTCTCAAGGGGGTGTCTAACTCGGTGTTACGGTATGTTTGACTCTAAATTAATTTTACGCCGGATTATCCCTTTAACCAATCAGCATGAATATTCCCTGGTGACGTATGTCAACAACAGACTGACAGAGATTCTCTCATGTTGAAAATGAAGGATAAACTAATCATGATGGGTATGCAGCTACCTGAGCTGTTGGGTACGACTTGTCTGTGATAGCAAGACAGGAGTACTCAACAGTATCCTCACAATGAGGTCAACCTCTGTCATGTTCTATGTAAACAGTCTGACCTGACATGCAGGGACCCCACCTCTCTGTCTTTCCTCTCCTTCGATCACATGTCTTTGGGCGCTCAGCAGACGTGATATCAGCACGCCAGTGGAGTAATTACCTGTATTAATTACCTCTCCACATTGTCTTAGGATATTATTAGCCAGCATTTCATACTGGTCTAAAGCTTTATTCAATATTGCTAGTTTGCAGGAAATTAGCCTACCTACAAGCACATGCTGCTCTCTGTTTTCATTGCCACAGTAAATTGATCTACTGTCCCTGATGCTGTCACTTGTACCTGATGCTATCTGTCATTTCAAATGTTATGTGGCAACAAAAGACAGCAGAGAACTGTATTTTTTTTTTAAGTTGACAGAATTTATGGAATTAAAACAGTATTCTCTAAATATCTGCATAACTGAGCAGTCTTCAAATAAAAGGCATCCACTAATCTCATGACTCGACCTTTATGGATGAGTGGGTCCCACCAACAACCTAACTTGTCATGGTTAATGAAAAGTATTTCCTCTTGGGGAATCTAGCCGGTGTATGGCAGTTGTGGCTGATGATTACTTCTCTAATGTAGTAGAGCTAAAAGGTCTCTAAATCCCGAGGGGGTGCTGATTTGTCCAGCCGTGCTAATTTTGGCTTCTTGCTGAACCATTTTCCAGATCTGTCCAGCATAAAAAGTGCTCCCTAAAGCTCTCTGCATAAGTAATATGTGAGAAAGACCAAATACCTTTTTCTCATCTTCGTCAAGTACTTTTGTCACACATAATGCTCTCATGGTATGATAGAAAGTGGTCACTATGGCAAAGCATCACTAATTTTATGACAAGGTGAGAACATCTTTCATGAAAAATGGTAATTCATAGAGAACATGTCAATTTGGCCTGCATTTCTGACCACTTTAAATGAAGTCAATATGATAATAGAGGAGGAGGGTACAGAGCAGCGCTGTCTCCGCCCACGACTCAGAGGCGAATTGCTAATGAGCTACTGGAGCTCTGCAGAAGAAAAGCCCTTAAAAATGACACAGGTAATACGATTTTGTCTCAAAATTTCATAATCACAATTTAAATACCACTGAGAAAACTTCTGAGTGGGTCTTAAACTATTCTTGAATTAGCTTACTCTTGAACTGCTATTATGGTTAAATAATATAAGCAGGTCATGAAGAAAAAAAATGTTTTTGAACTCCTGAAAACGTTATCCAATGATAACTGATTTCAAGTTAAAAACACTAAAGCAAAGGTGCCTCAGGAACTGTCCTCTGTGCTGACATTCAGTGGCATTTCCAGGACAGAACTCTGACCATATTGAAACTGACCCAAGCAGACTAGGGTTTACTTTTTAATAAAGTGTTATGCCCTTAAACTATACCTGTGAGAGAAGACTGTTACAGGGACAGAGGGGCTGCAAACACAATGGAAAATATTTGGCTTTAAGTTTCTGAGTTACAATAATATCTATTTGAATATCATTGTGTAGCAGTTGCATTTTTTTGATAAAATCTTGAGTGTAGTGGACTTAGTTTGGCAGCTGTGGCTCAGTGGTAGAGTCTGTAGTTCCCCAGTCAGAAGGTTGGCGGTTTGATCCCTGGCCCCAATGTGTCCTTGGGCAAGATGCTTGACCCGACCCGTTCCTACTGGCTGCACCAGCGTTGTGTGAATGAGATTAATCAAAAACTGATGAGCCCTATACATAGCAGCTCCTGTCATCAGTGTGTGATAGGTGTGTGGACGGTTGAATGTAATATGTAAAGTCAAAGTGCTTTGAGTGGTCAGAAAACACATTGACCTAGTTCTTAAATTAAGTAGCAGCTTCTTCAGTGACTTTATGTCATGATTTATATACATATGTATGTTGACAAGGAAAACTGAACTATGGCACTAAGTGTGTGAGCCACTGCTGTTTACCTGTTTTAGATTTTATTAATTTAATTTCTAAATTTACTGTTGATTAATTTGCTATGGAGATGCCCTCTGGAGAGGTCAAGCGTAGGGCTCATATATGTTCTACGTTACCTACAGATCCAGATCCGGACAAAGCTCCCCATTCGTGCTTCGCATTCTTTTTGTCCATATTGCAGCTGTCCCTACCCATCTCTAGAGAAAAACGAAGAAGACAATGGCAGAGTTTTTTGAGGATCATAGTCAATTTCTCTCATCGGTACTACTAGAGAAAAGAATTCTCTGTCCTTCAACCGCTGGGCATTTGGCGGCCTGGCCATCCACCACCTCCTCCAACTCTGCCTTCGTTTCTGTCTCCTTTGCAAAATATACATTATCACAAGCTCCTTCACAGTCGCCATGTTCCTGTCTGTTTGTTGTTGTCTGAAACTTTTGACTCCGACCTGCCCCCTGGTGGATGTAATGGTTAACATCCATGCCAACGTAAAGGACGCATGGAAGTACGTGAGCATTGACGGAACCGTCGTTTGAAACAGACGCATACATTTTAATACGTATGGCGAGCATAAATCAGCCTTTACTCTTTAGCATGAAAAATCAAAGAAGCTGCAAACTTGTTCTCAAGTGACACTTACAGGCTATTTGATTGTGCTTGAGGTTGTGTGTACAGTAACAGGTATTTGTACGAAACTACTACTCCAGCTTGTAACTTCATTTATGTTTGGCAAACTGGAACCTTCCCTCTTCTGTTTTAGCCAAAGGACTTTGGTTTTAATTGTCAACAAACATGTCTTCTGGGCTGTACTCTCATATTTAAAGGTTCACTTGAGTCCTCTATGTTAGTCAAGCTCAAAAATAATTGATGGGGTCAAAATGCCTTAATTAAATGTTCATTTTTAAGCAAAGAATAACTGCCTCTGTCGGAAACCTCTTATCCCTGAGTCAGTCCTTAATGCTGGGCCTAAGAAAACAACTGCAGAATAAATATTTTGCTTTGGATTGTAAGCTCATAAGTACTAGGCAAATTTCCCTGGGAGAGGCATTAAATGGTACTTTAATGTTTCTCTAATGCTATCCGGGTAATTAAAAGACCTTTTCTAAAGGACACATAGCCCATTACATTGTCTCTGTGACTTGTATTTAGACAACAGTCTGGCCATTCAGCTCTGTCCATCGGCCATCACAGTAGCCTCCTGAGTTCAGTAGCCTTTCAAACAACTCTCTCTCTTCTGATGATTTATTGATAAACAGCTTCAATACAGGTGTCCCCCACTCACTTTTAATTAATTATGTATACACACACACACACACACACACTTATACACACATACACACTCACCTCTGTAGGCTCTTGCTGATCAAAAGGCAGTCAGCAGAGGATGGAGGAGAGATGTGCTCTCAAAGGGAGTAATTAAAAAAGTGAGTGATGTCAGAAAGCTCGAGACAATTCAATCTCTTGTGGCTGTTTGGCTCTGCTCGGAGACAGTCAGTGTGGTCTACAAATGATCCTGTCTTATTATTCCCCATGGCCATAGTTAGTATGCACATGGCTGAGTGCCAAGACAGCGACTTAGACTGGACGTTTTGGCTGTGAAACAAAGAGACTGAATGAGCCAAGCTGGTTTGATTGTTCGATTTGCTGATTGTTGGTTTTAAAGCCACAGAGGAAGTGAGGTTTCAGGCTTGAAACATCCCTTTTGTTCTATTTGGACATTAATGTTTCACTACTTATTCACTGTTTATAGTTTTATGAGTATGTTTGTTTCCTCAGCATATAATTGAAAAAGATTTGACCTGGGATGATCATGCTTTGGGGGATATTTTATATTCTTTTTACCACATCAAGGTAGCAGAAATAGCTTTAGATATTTCCAATCCAGTTGACAGTCTAGCTAGCTGGCTGGATGTGATCAGTCCTTTGATCCCTATGAACAGTTTTAGGTCTCTAATTTTGCAAAGACTCTTGATAAAGTTTAACATCTCAGAATATAGTTGAAAAAATCACAAGTATCTCTGTGATAGCTGTTGAAATGCATGGATACATTAGCCAACAAGAGGCTTAGTTCAAGGCCCCCAGTTAAATACAAACTGCGTATTTCCTTTCCTAATTTATTATCAACACTATTTCTCACACTGTATGATGGCAACCTATGACTTGCAAAAACACACAGCATGATTGTAATTCACAGGAAAGTGAATGTATGCGCTGTAAAAAAATGTGTTTCTGTGTTTTTCAAGGCCACAAACCCCTGAGGTTTTCATTTTTGCTTTTGTTTATCTGGTCTTGTGCGGACTAACAGCGCACAGTTCCTTGGAAGCTACATGACTGCCATCGGCACATATTGCCTGGCTGTTTGACATGAAATATCATGATACCTGTGCAGTTCCAGTATTACATGTTCCTTCGATTCCCAGTCTATTACATATTACTTTCACTTTTTTTTATAGCTGTGGTCTATATTGCTTTATCACACTGAACAGACCCAGGTTAATGAAAGCTCCTTGTTTCTTCACAGATGAAGAATCATTGCAGAAAAAACCCTGACATTGCAGTGACCCAAACCTGTGTATGTGTTTGTGTGTGTTTGTGTATGTGTAGGCTGTAAAAAAGCTGACTGTGCTGTTTCAGAATGACTGTAGGGGTTATTAGGGTGGGTTGTGCATCATTTCTGTAGCATTACTCCTTTATTTCAATGGTTTATCAATCAAACTTTTCACAATAGAGAGCATCAAAAAATCTACCCTTCCTCTGAAGGAAGTCTATATATTACCTTGCATGACACAAACATATGACCAAAAGGTGTAGCCTGTTGAAGTATTTTCCTGCAATTTATCACCATCGACCCTTTGCTAGTGCCTGTTCCTCCCTGAGTTCTCTGAGCGGTTGTCTGCATTTGTCTGGGACAGCAGATATTTGTTCATACAGTGGACCAAGCTAGTTTCTGGAAAAACAGCAGAAACTAGCAAAATCGTACCAAAATTATTGTTATCTACTAAACTTTAAATTTTGTATCATTTTTACGCCTACAACACGCTTCATCTAGTATTACAGTCACACTGAATCTGGCAGCTGTCTCTCTAAAGTCTGAAGTAAAAGTAGTTTGATGTTGTACAAAGGATGACAAATGGAGACCTCTTACTATCTACCAGCTGTGAGTGTTGCTAAGAGACACAGCTAGCTAGCTAAGAAAGCTCATTAGCTTGTCGGTTGAAAATAACATTATGAAATGTACTTATAATACTCATAACTCTATTTTGGGTCAGGTTGCTATTGCTGTAATCTCTCTATAGTCTGAAGTAAAAGTACCTTAATGTTGTACAAAAGATGATTAATGCACACCTCTTGCTATCTACTGCAGCAGCTGAGAGTGTAGCTAAAAGATGCAGCTAGATAGCAAAGAAAGCGCATTAGCTTGTTGGTTGAAAATAGCGTTATGAAATAAACTTACAATACTTATAACCCTATTTTGTGTCAGGTTACTACTGCTGTAATCTGTGTAATCTGAATGTATTTTTTAATCCTTCTATGTTGAATTCAATAGTAACACTCAGTAGATAATGTATATAAGCCAATCACACTAACATTTGCTGCTTTGGGTAATATAAACAGGAAACTGACCTAAATAAGCAAGAAACTGCAGTTTGTTTGTTTTTTTAATTCATGAATTTGCTTCATTTTTTCCTTTTTTTTAAACCATACCTTGCTAGGATTGCTACATTCCACAATTGGATGTCCATTATGGCCAAAGTTTTTACAAGGCAATTTCAAACAACATAAGTCTGTCCCATCGACACATTTATCTGTCAGGAGTCACAGAACACAGATTTGAATCTGTCATTGTGTGGCTCTCAGCTCCACACTGTTGCTGAGGGATTTACAGGTGAGATCATGGTGTGTATCCTCTCCAGCTGGTGGCTTCTCTCCTTCCTTGTCTCCTGTCATTAGAGAACAGCTCTGAGAGGAAAAGCTCGTATCCTCACTGCTCTGTTGCCAACTGGTGTCTAAAGATCCTGTCAAACTCAGGTGACACTCTTCATTCACACCTAGTGCTCCCCCTCATACTCAAACTCACAGTGTTCTGAGTCAGCCTAATCCACAGCATTCTAACTGAGCAGGTAACACATAGGTACTCCCACTTTAGGGCAACGAAAAAAAAAATATGCGTGTCTTGTCATGAATAAAAAAGAATCATGGCCCTTAACTTAGTAAAGAAGAAATACTCAGTTTCCTGCTTTTTAAGCTATGAAACTGATATTGTCTGCTGAAAAATCAAGCATGGGTTTAAAAATATGACTAAATCTGATTCTTCCTAAAGTTCAAGTCACTAACAGGGTAAAGGATTACAATTTGAAGCTACCCCAGTGTGACAGTTTTAACCTTTTTGCCCTCTTGCTGAGGTTTTGATGGAGGTCTGGTACTCTCTTTGTTCTTAATGGATGGACTATGGTCCGGGAAAAGCCAGCCTGGCTGAGAAATCAAAGGTTTGCAGCCAGGTAAAGGTGTCTTCTGTTATGCCCCTAGGGCAACTACTTTTAGAGACACAGCCTTTTGGGGGATTTCCCTTGATGAACTCCATTCTATTCAGCCGAGTCAACGTGACCACAGCAGCATCTATTTGTTGTCAAATTTGTTGTCTCCCCCCACCAGCAGCCCAACAGGGGGAGACTTCATGAGGATGTGTGAAAAGCACATTCAAGTAATCCGGTACCTTTTTGAAAGGTTCAGACTTTAGTACAAAAGACAGGAAATAAGGCATGGAGTAGAAGTGTTATTATGTCTAATGGAGATTGTCCAAGAACGGGAAATTTTATATATTGTAGATAAAGTTTTACCTCACTATTGACAGAGTTTTACAACACATACTTTCTCTCCAGAGTTGGTGTTGCAGTGGCCCACAGGATAGCATACTTCTTTCTCCTTTCCTATAAGGTTGTAAAATTCATAATATGCACTCAAACCAGCCTCATGTACAGCTCCTCAAGTTGTCACTGATTGTAGTAGAAAATAAACGATAATATGATGGTGGAAATGACAGTTTCATTCATGTGTACGATATTCATGACTCAGGTTATTCATTGTGTTGATGTCATATGTCCACGGGCCAAATGACCAATTAATGTTAACTACAGAGACATGCAAAGCACGTAGTTGATGATGATATCATTAAAGTCTGTTAGTTTATTTGCAATAATGACAGTGTGAAACCTTAACAGATCAAACTAGTTTATCACTGATTGAAATGCAAAGAGTAAACTGTTTCCTTTTAGAGTTTTTTAACAATCCTCCCCAACAATAAGACAGTCATACTTCTATAAAGTACTATAATTTAACAATAAGCCATTATAAAACCAGTCAAATGTTGTTTTTAACCTGCATAAAGTGATATTTCATCTTATTATAATCTTGTCTTACATTTACTGCAGTCTTTGGTGTGGACTGAAGAAATTAAAAAGACATGAATTTTTCATCAGAGTTACAGAAGGGCAGTAACACTGCATCTGCAGTGTTTGTGTTTCCTTGGTTACCCTGTCTGAAATTTTGGTGCGCAGTAAAAGCAGTCTGCTGGATTGTGGATTTATGAAATGCAATTTCTGCACGTTTTTTCAAAGATGCTGTGATGAGCTGGTATTAAAATGCAGGACAGCTCAACATAACACACAGAATGTATAACTCTCAATAAGGACAACAGTCTGTGTTGCCTTGGTGTGTGTTTCAATCAACAGAACAGAACAGAACATTGTGAGAAAGTGAAAATCATTTGTGAATACATGTTGGAATAGCATTTAGGCCTGAATTACAGTATGTTCTTTTCAACTTTTCAAAACTGTCAGATCTGAAAAAATTAGATTTGTCCCACAAAGCATATACATTAGAAGGCCATCTAAAACACGAGACATTGGCTTTCTCATAACTCTTAATTCAGTAGGGTTTGGATGTTCATCACGGCTCTCATCTACGCCTTAAGAAATCTGTTACACTCCACTCATTTTCTGGTGCTCTTCAGCCCATCTTAAACCATATTCTCGCTGGAACACAGTGCACATTATTTAACTGCCAACTCTTTTTTCCTCTCTCACTCTCTCCATTCCAGCAAGTGGTTTCAGCAGTCCGAGCCGGTGTGAACCCTTCTGGAAATGTATCCAACCAGACAAGCCTCTGGGACATCAGCTCCTCCTTTTTCTTTGCTGGGACTGTTATTACCACCATCGGTAAGGAGACAGGTTTCTCACTTTTTAACAATGATAGCGATCCATGTTATTTTCTCCTAGGGGTGTTTAATAATGCATTCAAAATCTGAGAACATTTCCTCTGTCAGCGATCAAAATGGCATTATACGACTGGTTCATTGATCTTTGAGTCTTTAATCAAGGCAGCAGAGTCACAATGCAGTTCTAATGGCTATTTTGGCATGAAGTTACATTTACTTGCCCAAAATCTTGCATTCCTGCCATGTTGGTTTTCAGACTGTTGGCAAAAAGAATTGATAAAATTTAGTTGGCTTCACTTGTCTGCGCCTGCTTTTACTTTTCTGTCTCCTACTTGGTTTCACACAACAGTCTGTTACATTTATCAGCAACAAAACAACCAATGCTGTGTTTTAAAAATGATCCACAGCAACAGAAAACTAAGGCTGTGCTTCAAATTAACTCAACACGATGATGTACCAGAGTCCAGGTACCTGACTCATAACAATAGTAGAATAACAAGCGGGTCCACCACTTTCTCACATTACTTTGGGATCTCAGGCATCTGTTTTGTCGTGCAGTCTGCTTTTTCTTGCTTGGTTAATGAATTTCAAATAGTGGTTCTGGAAAATCAGTCAGCACTAAGATTATTTCCACCATTTAACCTTTTAAAAATGCTGCCAAGGTCACTGCCAGCAAAATAATATATACCCTATCAACCTGAGAGGTCTTTCAATTTCATTTTTCCCTCTCCATCCCATACTTGGACTAGGAATGGGCGATATGGGCTACAAAACTTATCCCAATAAGTTTTGCCATTCTGGCAATAATGATAAAAGTCCCGATGAAAATGTTACGATTTCAATCCATGTTTTTGACTCATTCTGTCTAGAGAAACTCACAAACATTTTTCTTGGATGGCACTTACTAGTTGGCATAATAAGATGCTTAAGCACGAGTTTAAGTGGTAGGTCATGGATAAAACTAGTGATATCGAACAAGTCTGAAATGTGAAAACACTTTCAACATTTGTTGAAAACTCTTACTGCACGGAATGAACAGCTGCAGCAGATCCACTGTCCGATGTCAGGCATACCTGATTCCACATGTCTAAGCCCCAATCTTCACCACCTTCGGCCATGTTTGTTTGTTTTTCTGCTCTGTGTCGGCTACGGCTGTGAGTCCGTCGCTCGTGCTTATGCCATCGACTTGCATTTATTGCATTTATCGTGAGATGACAAATAATTATCGTGGAGGATCGTGAATGATAATAAGCTGCCCATCTCTACTTGCCACTCTCTCAGATTTTTAACCCTATCTCTTGCAGTGCTCCTGGTTAGTAATTTCTCCTGCTAATCTCTTGATTTTACAGTGAAGATAGCAAGTAAGATTTGTTGTAGTATCTGGCAACCCTCGCTTGCCTGCTGGTATAAGGCTAGCTGGAGGTATAAACCATGTAGCGTTGATACTGCCAGAAATTAAGAAGAAGTCACTCACTGGTAGTTTCAGAGATGGAGAGTGAAAGAATTCCTGTGCATTATCCAAGACTTGTTTACAGGCTAAATCTTGGCCTTGTTGATGTAACCAGTATTATTCGTCTTGTATTTATGCTATTTTGAATGCATTTTCGTGTTTAGTTACATGTCTCATTGGCAGCAGAACTTAATGGAATTTGAAGTTTGAAAATTCAGTGTTCTTCATGGCAACAGCCACTTAATCCTTTAGATGGCGGCACAGTCAGTGGCACACAGTTTTTAATATGATGTGCAGTTAATGCTGCGTACTAAATGCATTGCAGTGGAACCACCTTATTATTTCGCCTTCTGGTAGTCATTTCAACAATTAAAACTGCTCATTTTTTCATTTTTGCCAATAGTAAACAGAACTGTTTATTTAACAAGGTTCCTTCATCAGGTTTAAAACACAAGACAAGAAATGACGACAATTTATATGCACACCTGGCTAAAGAACCTTGTTTCTTTGGCTTAAAAAAAGTCTCCCCATTTTTCACAACCTAATATTGGCAAGTATGCTATCCATGACTCTTTGCTACCTTTAACTGACATAACACTCATGGCTGTTATCAATTATTATTAAACCAGTTGATTTTTGGGAGCCAGTTCTTGTATCGGCACATGATTGCATACTTCTTGACTCAAATACTGAGATCAGGAAAATACTGTTTGTGTAGTTATCTGAACAACTATTGTTTTTTTTCACAGTATAATAATTCTGTAACTCACAAAGAAATGATGTGGTCTGTGGGAGATAAAAGGGACCACCATACTGGTTTTTAGTACAAAAGATTAAATTCTGAAGAAGTCTTTCTTAACCAGAAGTGTAGCCTAAGGACTTTATTAAGCCGGACTACCAGACGAGTATGAATTTAAAAGGTATTTGTTTCTGTGCTTTTAAGTTATTGTGCTTCATAATCAAAGAGCTGGCACATCGCCGGCTGCAGCACATTAACACAGCCTCAGATGCCAATAAACTTCAACTTTCCATCACTTTGTTTCCACCATTACTCACTCTCTGTGACAACTCCAGCTGTAAGAGCCAGCCCAGCTGCTTATCAGAGAAACACACACAAAGACAGTTTGTCAACTCATCTGGATCGTCAAAGCAGACTTTTTTAGATCCGTTTCTGTTTAGTGGGCTCTTTGGCGCTATTTCACGGCTTCAGCATCCTGTCAGTGCCGATGTTGTAATAGCAAAATGTAATATCTTTGCATTTCAGTCAGCAATTGTGTGTGAGCAGATCTTTATCCTAATGAATATTTTGGCTTAAAATCCTGTTTGCCAGCTCCATAACTCCAGATTTTTGCCAAACTGCTCCAGGCTTCTAATCTGGCTCGGGCAGACAGTCCTAAACTTTTCTCACTCTGGGTTTAGTGGGCTGTTGGGCTCTGTCAGAAAATGTGACAGCACTACAATAACTTGACTTTGCTCTCAGGTTAGCAAAAATACTGTATATAATGTGCTGGTGTCAGAATGATGGGGCCTTGGATGATGTTGCTGACTGTAAAAACATGAACTTTGAGTTTTCTCTTCACTCACCTTAGATCAAGTGATGCTGAATTCATGCTTTCACTCAGTCACCTCGGTGAAGTAGCTGCTTTTGCAAAAGGAGATGCAAAAAGCGGAGCTATCTTGTGAAATAAACCACAGGAGGTCAATAGCTGTGGTAAAAAATAAAAGAAAATAAAAATAAAACAGCTCTGTGACTTTTAAGTGATTATATCTGAAGTCTAGTGGATTTTTTGGTTTGCTTTGAAAGGCATCTAGAAAGGATTGCAAAACATGAGACAAAGAGCAACGTGCCTGGGTTATCATAGCTTTCTTTTCTGCAGAAATCTCACTTCCAGATACTGTTAAATATTCTTGTTAGTGTGAACAACACACGGTTAGCCTGATGTCCTTTGATAACCATTATAATTTGTGTGACGTATACAGTGTTCCACCATTGCTGCTATGCAAAGACATTTTTAATAAATATGCAGCTATATAGTCCATGCACAACCACTGTGCATTGCATTTTTACTCACTTCAGCCAGAGGTAAAGGAGAGGAGTTCATGTCATGGATGATTTTTTTTTTGTGCAGAGCTGTAATTGGTAGTGCAGTGTTAAGGCTAAGAATCTTCCCCTCTTTCACTTCCCTCTATTAAGATGTCTGGTGTATCTTTTCTTTCTTCTTTTCTCCTCTCCAGGGAATAAAGCAGCTACAGTAACGATTGATCTCACAGTTTTTCTTCCCTGTGGGACTCCCTTGTTAAGTGGCCTCTACTGTAATAGCCCTACTGAAACTCACATTTCCCCCGATATTTATAGAGCACTCAAGTTATTTCATTGTTGCTTCTTCACAAGCTAAAAGCACAGCATTATATATATTTTTTTTCTGTACATTTGAATCTGTTGTGAAGGGTTTTGCAGTGTCCAGTTTCCAAAGTGACTTTCAAAGTGATTTCAGCCTTTAAATACAATAGATATGAAAACGTCAAGGTACCAGAGGATGTTCTTAGCCATTTACAACATGCTTTAGTTGTCTGTTGAGCAAGGTTTCAAATGTAGCTGTTACAAAAAAATAAATAAACTCAGCCTCTGTGGAGGATCTTCAGCCTTTCAGTTTCTATTCTCATTATTTTTGCAGTAATTGACAGGGGTGCCATATTAACGCGGTGCTGCACTGATTGGCTGCAAAGGCTGCAAGACACCCCAGAAAAACTTGGCAGGCGCGCCAGGTGAACAAACAACAGTACACTATACATAAAACCCCGTATCTGACCCCAAACCAGAGCAGGCAGCTCTTAAAGAGAGGAAGCCATGATTGCAACAGTATGGTTAGCCCTCAACACAGACGGGTCTCTGTGCAACGCCATCGTAGGTATGCGCGCGCAGCCAGGGGGCAGAAAGCGGGACATTTCTTATTTGTTTACCACTCAACAGAGAAAGAAAATGACAAGGAGCTGTTGTGCTGTAAACTGCATGAATCGGCAAAAGGATGGATGGAAACTGTTTAACATCCACAGGGGATCTCATTCTTTTGCCAAGAGAAGAAGAAGATTGTGGCTCCAGGCTGTTAAAAGAGCGGATTGGGGTCCTGAAGGTCCCAAAGGTGGCGAAAGTCTGTGCAGCATACAGCGTAGATCCCTGTGCACGTACACCCAGGCATCATAAGGTTTTGCCTTTACTCCCTGTCTGACTGGGCAGGACACCTGCTCTCAAAGCACAAAACCCTGAACTTGTGTCATAACATTTTAAGTTTTGGACATGGCCACAAAGTACATAACTATACGCGTCCAAAGATTTTTATGCCAGAAACTGTCCTTTGTGTACACACTAGGCTTCTTAATTAGATTATCGTATGTCGGGCCATGTCATAGCTGGCCATTTGGACATATCTGCAATCCATTCCTCACTCAGAATATTATACAGGTCTGGTAATTTCTCACCAGTGCTGAGGACAAATTTGTTCAGGTAATCGGTGCAGTCTGAGCTGCTGAGCCATCTCTGTAAAGACCTCTCTAACGAGCTGTCAGACTTATATTTACAGTGACACTGGCGGGATTTTTAAAAAGTACTTTGACTTTGTTAGCATTCACTAACATTAGGACCCTGCTCCTGATATTAGAAACATCCAAAACAACGTTACAACTTAGTAAGTTGAGTGAAATTCATGGACTTTTCAGCAAGTGTTTTTCTAATTTGTGATGCAATGAAAGACAAAGCGATTTTTCAATGAAATAACATTTTATTGCAATTGTGTCAGGGAAAACTTGCAAACAATACGGCATCTTCATTGATAGCAGTTCACCCCATAGCAGGCTTTTGCCTCCTGGTTGTGCGCACCTAGTATCACTAACCATAGCTAGCATGTTGTGTTATATGATAAAATGCAGCCGCTGTTCTTGTTTTTCTTTTTTAATGTTCTGGTGCAGGGATAGAATAGAGTCATTTTTTGTTTTTGTTTTTTAAATCTTTTTTTTAGGATCGTTTTTTATTGAAACAACTAACAACAAAGACGTAGCTGTGTCTGGCTCTAACCTTTGACACCATAACTCTGCAATGCTGTATTACCACAGTTCTGTAGGAAGAAGCTGGAACACTCAAAACGTGGCAGTGGGACTGAAAGCAGTTTTGCATACATGTCTATGCAAGACATTCCTGCCATTAAGTCACTGCAAGAGTCAATTCAGACCGTCTTGTGGAAATTCTCCCATATAAAGGACTACAAAAAAATAAAGCTGAAGGTTTGCCTCCATATAAGTACTGGAACACCCTTGACTTACTTTACTGGTTGGTATGTGTAGCATATGACCAGTACCAGTATTTTTTTACAGTTAACTATAGATGGAAAGATTAAAATCAAATGATAAGTCAACACTCTGCCTCTGTCCTCTGTTGAAGCTAAGACAACCTTGCTATCATCTTCATTTTACTTAGATTTTCCTTGTTTATCTCTTGATACTGAATTTGATACAATCCAGGGCAAATGTGTTTATTCATGTATAATTAAAGTGGAAAACAACACAATAATGTCTTATATTTAGGCTGCTGTAGATCAGTCTGCAGAGACAGGACTTCAGAGCAGAGGGTAACTAGTTCAACTCCTGGTACAAGGTGGGCTGGTAGCTGGAAAACTGCCAGTTCACATAGAGGCAGTACTGATTCTCTTGAGCAGGGCACTAAACCCCCAAATGATGTGCAGTCCCTTCACCCTCCATATTAGTGCATGTTAAAAGGACCCTACATGGAGGTAGTTTTTTGGGGGATGGGGGGTTTGCATGATCATAAAAATTGAGCCTTCCCCTTGAGAAATATCCTCTGCTCACCACAATTAGCTTTTTTTTCTGTGCATTTGTAAGATTGCACAGAAAGATTGCTGTTTTTCACATCTAGCATCACTTTACGAGAGTAGGAAGTCATAAAACTTTCATGGTCCATTGCCGTCTTATTAGTTCTTCCATCAAGTTAGTACAGAGTAACACGTGACTGCACCAGGTTATTTTATAACACCATCCGTAGTCTCATGAATGCAGTAATATGGAGCTGAATAAGACAATCTTTTGTTCCATTGTGGAATTGAAATGAGAAGTGTCATGCTTTACTGATACAGGCAATACTTCCTCATGGTTGAAACTAATCAGATGACTAACTACTTTTAATATAAAGTTAGCATTTCACATTCAGTTCCAGTCCTAGATGAGATTGTCTCTAAAATGGAACTTTTTTTTTTTTTTTCATTTTCATCTTTGAGCTTTTTATACCATTTGACGCAAATACAGTTGATTGCCTGTGGATGCCACCTTTTTGTTCCATTTATTCGTACTTCATCTTTGAGCTTACCCAGCTTAACTTGCTTTTATGTCTGACGGTGTGATAGCATGCTGTGATGAGCTGTGAGTATAAACAACATTTTAATTCAGCCTGGACAAAAGAGAGAAAAAGACTTTGAATTAGAGAGCTGCTGTTTCTCTCGTTTGTTATGCTTCTGCACCCAGAGGTGGTGAGAGCTAATTCAGCATCCTGTTTCCCATTGAACTAATCATGAAATTAGCGTGACTTGATTGACAGCCCTTCTCACATTTGATGTCACTCTACTACAGTGTGAGTCTGGGAAGTTATTAGAGGGCACCCTGCGGCTCTTATCCTGACATGGATGAGTCCATTAAAGGAGAGAATCGCATGTACTTCATTATGCAGAGCTCATATGAAACGTTAAATAATGAAAGTCTTGTGTTCAGTGTGTGGAGTCTATCTGGTGGTTTGGTTTGCACAGAAGACAGGACTCAACATATGGACTTCTATAAGGTCCACAGTCTTTGCTCCCTAAGCACGGCGATAGGTTTGAAGGGAAGATGAAAGCAGTAACTCAGTCATGATGTTAGTTAATATGCACACACACAGACCCATTCAAGATACTTTCTTCTGGTTTCTGGTGTTCATTTAATTTCCTTTTGTATTTGATTGAAGTTAGCTGTGAATGTACAATAGACTTTGGTGTTATAAACCTACAGTGGGATCCAGCGCTTTTATTAGACCTTTTATCTGTAAATGATGACGTTCTTCAAAGCTGCTCTGCCAGGCTCGGTGATGTGACGGTCGACTTTTGAAGGAAGATTTCTCATACACCCTGCCTAGTTAAAATTGATTCTTCTGCTGAGTTTGGTGTGCTGCCATTTTCATTAGAAACCACTTTGTTATTTATTTTACAAGTTTCGAAAGAAGACAAATGGGCAATGTCTTTGGTGATGCCTGTTTGTTGAAAAGAGGGGACAGGGTTTAAAGTAGGGTATACCACCAATGTGGAGTCTAGTCTCTGGTGTTGGCGGGTGAGACGGATGGCTGGACTTGAACACTGATGAGGTGCATAGGAAAGGAGGAGAGTCACAGCAACCACTGAATAAGGTGAAAAAGACTGCAAGAGAAAATTAAGCAGATTTAAAATTTGACAGCAGCAGAATGATCTGGTAGGAAAGGTTGAGGCCAGTTTAATAGTTTAACGCAGTGGTTCTCAAGTCCAGTCCTTGAGGCCCACTGTCCTTCATGTTTTGGATGTTTCCCTGCTCCAACACACCTGATTCAAATGATTAGCTCGTTATTAAGCCATTACAGAGCTTGATAACGAGCTGATCATTTGAATCAGGTGTGTTGGAGCAGGGAAACATCCAAAACATGCAGGACAGTGGGCCTCTAGGACTGGACTTGAGAACCACTGCTTTAAGACTTAACACAGCACATCGAAGCAGAAAAGGACGGAGGAGGAAAGAGTTTTTTTTATCAATAAATTTATGTGTTGAGACAGAGAAAAAAGTATGACTTAAGTTGATAATTTCACTTACCTAAAAGAAAGAAAGGTTACTTCTATCAAAGTCCAAGAAGTTGGTCAGTAAACATAACAGACATATTAGATTGAGATATAAATAATCATCGTCTCTCAGCTTCTCTGTATGCAGGTGCTGCTATCAAATAGACTAGAGGCACCTTATATTCAGCATGGTTGTTGTGAGGATGGCAAAGATGGGTTGGCTCAAGAATGCGGCAAAAATCCAAACCTCAAACCATGAGCATTTATTCTCAGTGAAGCAAAACCTGTGTGCAGCATTTTGTACAGTGCAGGCATAGGAATTGGCGAAAACATTACTAAAAAAAACAACCAAAAAGGCAAAAAAAAAAAAAAAAAAAAAACCTGCAGTAGAGCTCTACACAATGCCACTTGGATCCTTGGAGCTAAGTATGTGCTATGTTTGCTTCACTACTTTCCAGCACCTGCTTTGACTTTTATTCTCTCACAAAACATCAGCTGGCTCCTACTAAAATTTAGGAATTAATGATTTGTTATCAATTGAGTCCCCTTAACCTCTTATCAGTTCTGCATATGTCCCAAACATTAACAATGTGGGTAACAAAATTTTATCCAAACATGTTTACACAAAGTTCATTTTCAGATTACCGACAAAACAGCATTTCTTATTTCAACTGTCACACCCCTCCAACTCCTCGTACATGGTATCTTCCTCTTGGCCCGCCTCTTTAAATGCTAACTATGCTGACACAGGACTCTCAGCCTGCTTGATGTTTGAAAAGGAGTGGACATTTCAACATTTTACATTTTACTCAGAGTGCATGTGTGCACACTCTACAGGACACAGGATCACCCTGAAAATGAAGAAAAATCCTGGAAATATCGAGAGTTATTTTAGCTTCAAATCTGTATACAGGCGGTAGGCAGAACCAAGTTGTCCATAGTATACACAGTCTATGGTCACAAGACAGTGAAATAGTCACAATTATAAGAATTTACACAGTTTATGAAACACTGTAATAAGACATGATAACAATGGTTGAGCATCTCTCCAAGAGGGAAAATTTCAACCAAGCTCAAGATATTTTTACTCGCTCCTTGCACCTTGCTCTTATCCCCGTATTTATTCTCCTCCAAGTTCTTATATAACCTACCACATGTCCCCTGTGTCCAGCAGCCAAGCATGAAGATTGAATGTGGATGGATAAGCAGCTGTACATCACTGGGTTTATCAACTGGGTGCTTATGTATTTGTGTTCAATAAAACTAGGCCCTGACACCGCAGGGAAGCTTGACATTTTGCCCCAGCATCCTGAAGCAACGCCCTTTCAATCTCACCTCCCACCACACCAACACATCAAATTAGAAATCAGTGGAGAGAGATTGGAAAGAATGAGCTAGTGCAAAAATCCTGTTTGGTCTTATGTTGTGTACTTAAGTTACAAAGAAAAGCACAGAACACTTAGCAAATATGACTTAAATCAATCACCTACCTTCACTCCTTATAACAGGTTTTTAGAGGGATTTATACAGAACAATACTACTGCATCTCTTTGTTTCAGCTGATTTACTGCAACACTTGACGAGCTCATGTGCTGTCTGTGTCTCTCTGTTAGGGTTTGGGAACATCTCTCCTCACACAGAAGGAGGTCGGATCTTCTGTATAATCTATGCTCTGCTCGGGATTCCCCTGTTTGGATTCTTATTGGCGGGTGTAGGGGACCAGCTCGGGACCATATTCGGGAAAGGAATTGCCAAAGTTGAGAAGATGATTGTGGTGAGTACCTGCCTTCTGACTTCTGTTCTGTGTATTTGCCCGAGCACATGAATAAAGCACATAATGACGCAGGAAATCAGTTGGCAGCTATAAAATGATGTTGCTGTGCTGGAGTGTCTAAGGGTTAAAACAGGAGCCCTTTTGTAAAGACCTTGCAGCTGATTACTGTGAAAGTGCAGGAGTTCTTTCTTTTTTTGAGAAATCTGTTCCTCATCAAGTGATAGTTGCAGTTTCCGAGTTGCCATGTCAACCGACTCCTAGAAACCAATCTCAATTGCGAGCAGTTTGTTTTAGAATTGCAAACTTAGATCAGGACATTGCAGTTATTTCATTGCAAGTTTTAAAAGCTTGGCAGAGTTCTTGTGTTTTTGTCTTCTCCTGTGCTAAATTCACTGGAGTGTTTCCGGTTTATCTCTCTGTTTGTGGCAGTAAACCGAACCAGCAGCACACACAGATCGATAAATCTTGCTAAAATAATAATGGTGGGCTTATTTATTACATTTGAAGTCACACAGTGACTGCTGCCCAGTGCTTGTACAGTATACATGTGCACACAAACCACACGTCACAACCCTGGCAAAGCAGTTAGAGAGCATCATTAGTCATGTTGGACATACAGAATATAAACGAGAGCGGCTGGTCAGGCCAGCTGATGGTTGGTCATTAAGTCTCCCCTGGAAACCAAAAGGCATGCTGTAGGAAAAAAAGCAAAGCAATTAAACTGCTGCTTAGTGCACCAGCCAGTATGATTATCCTGTATGTTACTGGACCTATAACAGGTTAAAACACTTAAAGTCATTTTACCTGTTCTGGAATGAAACATATTTACACAAGGTCAAGTTCTATTTTGATTAAATAATGCATCATTTATAAAATGGGCCCTGCAGCTAATTGACAGTTGAAAAACAGTCTTAATAGCTGGTCTGAAAACAATGAAACTATTAAATTGATGCCATACAAAGACGTCTGCATAATACAGTGGAGAAAAAAATCAGCCTGATCCTCAAGATCACAAATGAATAAAACAGGAAGGTCAAATTAGAGATTTAAGTCCAAGAAAGAGTGATGTCTGTCTGGCTCAGTGGTAAATGCCTGCATCTCAGACACAGAGGCTATATTTCCCTACACAGTGTCAGCAGTCTTGTTGCTTTTCTGCATGTCATCCTTCACTCCCCCTCCGCCAACACTTTGTCTCTCACTTTAGCTGTCCAAGCGAACAAAAGCAAAAATAGCCCAAAAATTAACTTTTAAAGGACTCGTGGCAGGAACCGCATTTTAAAAAGGTGTAAAAGAAATGCACATTTTAATGTGACAGGGGAAATGCTAAATAGATGTGTAGGCATATGATATAAAACATCATAATTTTGTTTCACCCTGAGTGAGCAGCATGCCTCCTAACCTCGAGAACAGTAGAGCTTGTTTTATAAAATGCTAACCTGCTGGATGTCTTGAATTAGTGTGCTTAGAATAAAGAAAATAGCACAGATGCTAGCAGCTGCACGACATTTTTTCTCCTTGTTGTGAGTGTGAAGACTACATTAGGTGGTGACTAGCTGTGAACATCCATGCGCTCAGGCGGTCTGGGTGTTAAGGCACTGTGATTGGAGCTTGCATCATAATTTAGCCAAGGAGTCGAGTGAAGTGATAAATACTGAAAGGAGAATGTAAAGTGGTAAAAAAAAAAAAAAATTCTGAAGTGTGATTTTAAGTTTTTCTGACACATGGAGGGTGGTGTTAATAAGAATAAGAGTAAGAGGAACTTTATTTATCCCCAAAGGGAAATTTAATGGCATATTTTCCAGTTGTTAGAATTTAATTGAGATGACTAATTTAATCTGTGTTGCAAACATACATACACTGGGAATGCCTTTAGTCAAGATCATGGGGAGTAATTATTGCATAATTTTGAAGAGTGTTATTTTTTTTTCATATATTTTATCATAATTTTTTAAACAGCTGTAAAGTGTTAAACATATCAGTTGAAAGGTTATATATATACATATATAAAAATTTTTTATCACAAAATGGCTTTGACAGATGGTTAACACATCAGTTATCAACAACTAACAAATTATTACCCAGACTGACTTAGCTGCCTTATTAATATATGCTGTCTAAACTATTCATATCAACCATGTAACATGGTATTTAGTCATAAGATGTTACTTTGCCGGCAATCAAAAGGGTGTTTTACAAATTAAAATTATAACCATATCATATAATTATTACAGAATATGAAATATTATAACCGGTTCAACAATAAACTACATTGAAGTATGAGGGCCACATTAAGAAAAAAAAATTAAGACTTCAAGATTAAAGTCATTACTTACGAGTATAAAGTCGTAGGAAAATCATTATTTATGAGACTGCGTTACCTCACAGTCATTCACATTAGCATTAACTGTAAATGGTTTATTTTAACAGGATGATTTTTTGGAATCAGGTTTTAACCACAAAAGGCTAAAAACATCCTGTTATCCTTCAGTTAAAGTCTGATGAATCATCAGTCCACGATTGCAGCTTCTGGTTACCTGAGAACCTTTTGTTGTCAGACTGAAAACACTATCAATAGCACATTTTCCAGGCTCCTTGATCCTTGACAGCAACAGGTTGATTATGGCTTTGATTCATCACTGACTCAATGGCTTCCCTCCCAGGAGAGCAGGAAGAGAAGAGGCAGCTGGTTTAAACAATGGGGGAAGATGGACTATAGCATCTGCAGAAGTGGCTGCTGTGCACTGGAGATGCTGGTGAAGTAACCACCTCAGCTATATGAGTCCCCTGGGAGTATCTGTTTGGCTTTGTTAATCTCCATCTCATTTGGTCTTGCATGGCTCACTGGTGGTGTCTTTGAACTGTGTGTTACTGGAGTGGATTTCGTTCAGTGCACCGAGGACATTAGACATCACAGGCGGAGTATTTTGAGGTCTGCTTGCTCTTTATGCTCCCCTCAGAGCCTCTGTGCTTCAGGCTTACATAACTGGAAGGGAAAAGGGCAGCATGCACAGGGAACCAGCTGAAAACAGTCACCTCTAGTGACAAGGCAGCAGAAAAAACACCAGAATATACATGATGCACTTTGACCGGAGAACTGTGGATTAAATCAAGCTAAAACTGGCCTAATAACATGACAGCACAGGCTGTAACTGTAATGAATCAATTAGAAACTCTGTTAATAGTCCCGATGTGTAATTATTTAGAAGTCATTGATAAAACAGCGCATTTGAGATACATCAAGTCCCATGTCACTGTAGCCAGGGTGGGCGTGCCATCTGACGGTGAAAATTATGTCTCAGTTATAGGAAACAGCAAATATATTCCTGGAAGGAGGTCAAAAGCAAGTGACTCATCCCAATGTGAGGAGAGCAGAAAGTACTGGAGGCTTGAATGAAAACCCAGAACAGGAAATGGACATAGTGCTGTCAAGCATTTTTGCCCCCAACACAAATACATGATAATTATAGACTAAAATGAAATAATACATGAGCCAACTAATCTATGGATACTTAGCATGAATAGTATAATTGCATGATAACCACTAAATCTGTCAAAATCCTGGCTTTTTTCACAATCAGAGCCATTATTCATACAAAATTAAACACTTAAAGACCCAGTCTGATGAAAATCATGTTTTTCTTGTTGTCTGCGTGATCATGAGGAATTTTTATGATGCTAGAGGACATATCATGAGAAAGCTACGTGCAAAATTGCATTTCTGAGTATTTCTGCATATAAGTCCCTGTGAACCTCTGGCAGATCAAAACGATAGGCTCAGACACAGTGGGATTTTCTATGTCACAAACCCATGCTCCGCCCCCAGAGCCCCGCTCCGCAGACCAGTGTGTGCATTAGTGGATTGCAATGCTCGTAAGAAAGCTAATTATGATATTAACTTTTATCTTCCCCCCCAAAGACATCAGTGTCTGAGAGCTGAATACCTACCACGTCTGCTGCACCTGCAATATCAGGCTACAAGCTAGCATAAAGAGGAGTGTGCAGATCAGCACTGTCTCCGCCCACGACTCAGAGGCGAATTTTTAATGAGCTACTGGAGCTCGGCAGAAAAAAAGCCCTTGAAAATGACAGAAATTGTGATTTGCGCTAAAAACGTCATAATCAGAATTTAAAGACCACTGAGAACACTTTAAATCAGGGCTCGGACGATTCATCTACAACATCGATGTATCGATTTATATTCCTATGATCCAACTACAGAGCAACAAGAGATTGTCCAATTCATTGATTATAGATGACGATTTTCTACAAATTAAGGAATTGTAAGAACAGTGTCAACACAGAACACTTAAAAAACTTTTGATGAGAGCTGATGAGGCATTACAGCTTTAATTAAACATTAATCATGCATTATGGGCCAATCTTGATGAAATTGTTCATATCTGTTTGACTACTTAGCAATGCCAGTGCTGAAAAACGATGGTGATGCTGTTTTATTATACAGTCGACTAATTATTTGCCTTCCTATTTTAAAGTTTCCCTGAGTCTCCCGCTGTCTCCAGTTTAAAGTCAGCGTTGTGTTGAGTGTTGTTTTTTTTCTCTTTTCAGAAATGGAAGGTCAGTCAGACAAAGATCCGCGTCTTCTCCACTCTGCTCTTCATCTTGTTTGGATGTCTCATCTTCGTGGCCCTGCCGGCTGTCATCTTCAAGCACATCGAGGGCTGGAGCACACTGGAGTCCATCTACTTTGTTGTCATCACTCTCACCACCATCGGCTTTGGAGACTTTGTCGCCGGTGAAAAAGGTCACTTGATATTGTTTGAGATTAATAGACCCTCTTCTATTTTTATGTCCGACTCTCAGTATGGAATCATTTTATTTATAGTCAAGTGATCCCTGACAGACCAGGCTGACTGAACAGATGTGCACACAGGGAAAAGGATCCTTTTTTTCATGCCTTATGCTGTGATATACGCCATGTATTCTGACAGTTTCCCTCATGCATCTGTTTTCCAGCAGCATGTCAAGTGCCTTCCATCTGTTTAAAGAGAAATTGTCGGCAAATTCTGCTGGAAAAAAAAAATGAACAGGTTGTATTTATTTTTCTCACATATGATGAAAGTGCAATAAGATAGACACAAAAAAATGCTCAGTAAACACTCACAATGACCCAGGTAAACTAGACTGAAATACAATCTTTACAAGTTACAGACACATATTTTCCATGACCTTTCTGTATTCATTCTCAGATTTTTAGAGGACTGGCTTTAACTTGTTTGAGTACAGTCCTATTCAAGCTAAATGAGAATTGAGTGTAATGTACAGAAAACTAAAAGCTGCAAACAGCTTAAGGCATGCAGCAGCATCTTAGTTTAGTATTTTTCACATTTTTTTAAACCACTGACTACAGAAGTGACCTGGCTGGTAGAGCTGCTTACCAAATTAGTTATTAAATTCATCAATAAAATGTTAAAGATTCCCAGGTGGGTCTTATCTACTTGAGTTGATCTGTAGCCAATGCTTAAAGCTATGGAAAGGTCAATGACCCTTGTATTGGTATTTATTACACTTTCTCGTGCTGTTTCTACTCTACTCTGTTAACCTGTACATAACACAGCAGGACCATTTGTCAACAGAGCTGTTGATCATGATTTCACATCTGCAAGACAGGGGTCACTGTTATTGTAATTGGTATTTCTATTGCTTTTGCTATAGCTATTGTTTTTATTATTGTTACCACTATTGTTACTGTTGTTGTCAAGGCTGTTTCTTTTGTTTCCCTCTTTTCTTTAATTTTACTTACTTACATACATACTTATACACACACACATACCCTCGCACACACACACACACACACTTAGGCCACTATTAGACGGAAACGGTCTCCATAGAAAACAGAAAAATTTACTTTTGTTTAGGGGGGTTCGTTTAGACAGCAACTGCGCTTTCAGGAGATAAAAATGTAACAAAGTGAAAACCCCCTCCAGAGTGGAAATGTTGTAAACACTCTGCTAGTCCCGCTTTCGTCTTAGGTACAAAAACGCTGAAAATGGTCTAACCTGTGACGCCATGGCTCACGTCGGCTCACGTTTATGACATCATAGCCCTGCGCAGCTTCTTTGAAAATAACAACAATAGCCATGCTAGACATTTGGGTCGCGCTGTCGTTATTATTGAACAGGCAGGAGCTCAATTTCGACCTGTACAGAATCCTCACGGATCATACTGCTCAGCAGAGGAGGCGTCTAAATTATTTGCATCAAATAATTAATGTAGAACGGAAGTTGTTCTACGTATGTGTTGTTGGTCTATATGGGAGCGTGGTCACACCGACACGCACCACCTAGTGACCTGGCATGCACATTACAGCGTTTTCAACCACATTGCGTTTTTGTGTAAACACAGCATGAAAACTGAAAACGAACCTGCACTTTTCCTTTTTCTACGGAGACCGTTTCCGTCTAAAAGTGGCCTTAGACACACACATACACATGGGAACATGTGCTTACACACCCTGAACATCTGGAGTGTTTGGGTTGACAGGAAATTATTGGGTGCTGGCCTGTTTGTATGTTGTCTTCATAGACTGTAAATAGAATAGAAGCCGTCTGCCTCCTCCTGGGTGAAGCCACTGTGAGAACAGCAACCTCTGGTGACGGGCTGCAGTATAGGTCATAAATCCCGCCTCCTCCAGCAATCCCTATGGAGCTGTCGACAAACTTTAGAAATGTGTTACACAGAACATAATTTTTTCTCCCCCCGGTTGCAATGTTGACATGTAGTTACTGTAAGACTGGTTTGTGCTCAAGTCCTCTTTTTTTCTGTGCAGCTCCATTTTTAAAAATTATTTGGAGGTTCAGGTGTTCTGTGACTGACACTTAATATACAGCCTATGGGCGTATGAAGTTCAAACTTAATTAAAAATAAAATACAGTAAAATAAAAATTTTAAAAAAATAATAATAAACGGGGTTATTAACTATACTATAGGGAGTCAGCAGGGAGCACTCTAAATTTGTTTACTTCATAGCCAATGAGAACTTGTGCATCCATCATAATATACATTAATGAAAATAATAACCCGATAAAGAGATGGATGCGTGGTGCCCTCATAAATGTAATATATCTTGTTCATTTTAAAGTTTGTATTTTATAGTAAGTTAAATGTTCAAAGATGTAATTTAACCATTTACTATTTTCTCACTTTCTTCTAATGAGTATTACATGTTTGCTTTACACAGTTAAGAGTACACACCACAAAGTTAGCTTAGCTTGGCATGCAATCAAAAAGAGGACGGATCTACAGTTTCCCTGTTAGCAAAACAAATACTGGTTGTATTAAAACCAGAAGTAAAAAGATATACATTTGCTATTTTACTGTGTAGATGACAGAATAGGTCTTTGCCAGGCTCAGGTGTGTGTGTGTTTGTGGTTGTGTGTGGGTGTGTGTGTGTCTGTGGAGGCAGGTGGCATTAGATTGATTTGACCTGCCTCATAGAAACAAGGGAAAAAGCAGATGGCAAAAATCACAAACACTTAGCTGCTAGATTAAACTTCCCTGAGCAGAACTAATGATTATAGATTAGATTAGGCCACCTGTGCCAGTGTCACGAGTAACAGTAAACAAATCAGCTTTCAAAGCCCAGACTTCAATCAGTGGTCGTCGAAATGACGGCTGTGCTGCATCACATCGGTAGATATATAACCAGAGTTCATCGGAAGACTCCGCTCATGATTGAGGTTAAAGCTGAGTTCAAGTGTTGTAAAGATTATGTTCACAAGAGTAAAAGATTTATGATTGGTATGTTGTTTTTGGATAGCGCACTCCAGCCAGCAATTGTCAGGAAAGTATCAAGCTGATATAAATCCTGCTGCCTGCATCTTTGTGTGCAATAAGAAATAGACAGGGGCTCAGCCATGAAATATGAGTGAATATCAAGCCAGCAAAACCCAAGGTAGACACTGTAAAGGACCAAATTTGCTCCTGATACTTTCCTTTTTATCAGTTCAATTTGTCTTGTCATGTCTGATTTATATGTTGTTCAAACATCTTTTTTTTAACACAAGACAATGACAGTACACAAAAATATTGTCAGATTCAAGGCAGGATTTTACATCTTTAATATAAAAGAAATGGAATTGCTGGAAGAGATTAAAGCTCCCTCAGGTTCGGTTGTGATTTATTGGTCTTACTTCTTCCTCTGGCAGTACACATACAAAATTGTCCATCTCTGAGCCAAGTCATTTGTCCTTAAGCAATTCAAGGCAGCGTCACAGCCCAATAAAACTACTGTTGAGAACTGAAGGAACATCACTTGTAACAGCAGGATCTAAGCCGCATCTGGACCCCCACCTGTACACACACACCACGCAGGCACAGATGCTACATCCAACAGTGTAGTGCATCTGGGAAACCAAACCCCCTGTAAAGCCTGAGGCTTATGGAAAATTGTTTGCTAATTGCATTTCCACCTTAAATCCCTTTCCTCTTGTGTTCATATCATGGGCCGTAGGAAAAAAAGTGAACAGCACAACAGCCATCTGAAAGTGAAGTCCAAACTTGTAGAACTCCCCTAGGTGACTGGCTACAGGACTGGTCTTAAAGCCCACCTCCTCCTTAATAATAGAAGGAACACTTGAAAGTTCAAATATATATCAAGTATTTTTTATTTTAAACATGCCTTTTTTTAAAGACAATTTGGTCTTATGCTGCATCTCAGTGACCTCGGAAGTCAGAGCTGGGAATGACGTTCCACCCGAGTTGACGGCGTTCCAGTCAACAATTCGGAAAACGAAGATGGACGCCTACTGTTAGCCGTTTTTAGCTGTTGTTAGTTTTTGTTAGCTATACCAGTTGTAAACAATTCATAACACAGTATTTTACTCTTACAAACTCAATAGCACCGTGTTCACAGTTAGATGTTGGGCAGTACAACAGATACCACTTATTTAATTTCACCAAAACAAAACAGAAGTGAAAAAAATACTAAATAATACATTACGAGAGCTTTCACTGTTACTCTTGATGCACTGCGCTGCCATCTTGGATTATGAGGTTGTTGTAAAGTTGGGGTTGGTGAGGATCATCCGACTTTCCAAGTCAGAAGTCTTTAAGGGGGGCTTTCCAGATGAATTTCTGACTCGAAGCTCAAAAATTCCAACTTCCAAATACAACTAGAATGCACTGTGTTAATTTACAGCATGTTTAAGTGTTTACTTTTTCTAGGCGTATAGTTTAAATAAGTTATTTGATGCCAGAAAGAGGGGATGTGACATCATGATTGACAGGTTTCTGGACAAATGTAGTTCATGCACTGGATTAGCAAAGCAGAGGTGGAATTTCTCTCAAAAACTTATTGAAATTAGATAAATTAAAAAAACAGAATGCATACAAACTCAATGATCAATAAACTTTAAATACAAGCATCTGCTCTGCTAGGGGGCTGCATGAATCTTAGGGATGCGTGACGTTTGATTGGCTATTCAAATGTGTGCTTTTGTTTAACTAATCCAGAAGCTCCACCAGCCAGATCTGCACAGACCCTTTTTCCAAAATAACATCACCAGCACAATATGTCAGTGCCTGCCACTGCTGTATTTTGGCTTCATGTTTATATTATAGGAGGAACGAGCCAAGTCTTCCATATTTATAGCCGGTCACATGAATACATAAACTGCAGCTGATGAATCTAAATGATCTTTTCTGTTTAATACACATGAAGATCTGCCAACAGTGAGGTGAAAGGTTTTTTTGAATAATTAAGTCTTTCTGGATCACAGATGTGACATGCCTGACAAAACTGCATAACAATAAAATGTTACTTTACTTTCCTCAATATTATCTAGAAATTTAAAACAATTGTATTTGACCTTAAACAGAATCAAGACCACTCACCAGGCTTCATCCATGATCAGAAAACATGATTGAGGATCTTTCTAAATAAACTCGAGTATGAACATTGTCAACAGACTGGTATGGACACTTAAGAAAATGTCAACAGTCTTAAGCAATGTATTGTAATGCTGGACGGAATCCCAGCAAGGTTCAGCAACCTGAACGTCCAGTTAAAAGCTCAGAGTCCTTTATGTAATCTGGTGTAACAAACCAGGAAAAATCATGTGAATTAAGCAGCATCCCACACAACAGGCTGTCTTTTTGTCACAGTTATCAGCAGACACCAGAAGTGCTCTCCTCCCAGGCTACCAGCTTCTTCTGGTTTGTTACAGGAAAGCATGGAATTAAAAATTGAAGGTTTTTTTGTCTCTGCATGTGAACAGCTGAAAGTTCATGTCTGACACAACATCATTTGTGTTTCTTTTGTTTTGATTTTCAGTCGTCTAGTTCCACTTAAGAAAAAAAATTTCTTTCTTCCAAGTTTGAAAATTAAATAACATTTCTGTAATTGAGCCTTTAAGGCCTCTGATCCTGAAATCAATTCTGCATGTTTTTCTTCATTAACTCAGGACAAAAAAACTGAATTGTGTGACCAACTCTTTGTACCTTTTATTCCACAGCTGGATCAGAGACTCCGGACTATTTGGACTATTACAAGCCAGTTGTGTGGTTCTGGATCCTGGTGGGCCTGGCATACTTTGCTGCTGTGCTGAGTATGATTGGAGACTGGTTCCGGGTCATCTCCAAGAAGACAAAAGAGGAGGTATGGGCTGATGTGCTGTGAGTTAACTTACTCTAGAGATGAGTTTATGATATGTAGAATTTCCCTGTGAAGGTGTTTTGATGGAAAGGTTCGGACAAAGTCAGCAGAGGGCCAATAGCTTTAATCTCAGCTCTGAAGCCAGTTTTCACATTTCAATTTGATTTTTACGGATCAAGAACCAACTATTTAACTCAACTTAAGTTTTGATTAAAGTCCCACTCCAATCACTTTTTTTTTACTACTTAAAGTGTTCTCAGTGGTCTTTACATTGTGATTATGAAGTTTTTACCAAAAATCATGTTACCTGTGTCATTTTCAAGGGCTTTTCTTCTGCAGCGCTCCAGTAGCTCATTAGCAATTTGCCTCTGAGTCGTGGGCGGAGACGTCGCTGCTCTGCAAACTCCTCTTCACGTTAGCTTGCAGTCTAACTTTACTGGTGTAGTAAAAGTAGTAGGTAACAAAGGAGCTCTTCAGCTCTCGGACACTAATGTCTTTAGGAACATGATGAAAGTTAATATCATCATTAGCTTTCTTACAAGGGTTGCAATCTGCTAACGCACACACTTGTTCTGCCATCGTCCTCTGTATTTCTCCTCTATATGCAGAGTGTGGCCTTTATAGTGCGGCTCCGGGGGCGGAGCTTGGATTGGTTACGTATGAAATCTCACTGTTTCTGAACCTGCCATTTTGGTCTGCCAGAGATTCACAGCGATTTAAATGAAGAAATATTCAGAAATGAAATTCACATTTAGTTTTCTCAAGATGTCCTGTAGCATTAGAAAAATGCCATATAAACATGAAAAAACAAGAAAAACATGATTTTCATGGGAGTGGGTCTTTAAAGACCAAAGCTATTTCAGTACAAAAATAGTTGTTTATGACCAGTATCAGAGCCAGCCCTGTTTGCTGTCCAATGTAAAAGAGAAAAGGATGACTCTCACAAATTGCTGGAAAAAGCTTTTGACAGGCACTTCCTCAACTGCAGTTCCACCAAAGCTGAGAAACAGAAATACTTTGACCTTTAATGCAGGGGGCATTTTGCTCAAAACTGACTGCATGCCACAGCTGTAGTCTCTCTGGCCAGAGACAGACTCGCCTTTTAACCTTGTGTTTTCATACAAAACTGGCTGTATAGTGAATGTTTAGCTTGAATATGGTGGCTGGAAAGTGCAGTACAAAAAAAAACACTGACATTTTTCAATAAATCTTTAATCACATATACTTTAAGGAAAACCTTTTGACAATATATAAAAGAAATTACATAAGCAAAACACTTTACAAAGGTCAAAACCGATTCAAATTTCAGTAAAACTTGCAAAATATGACCTTTGATGGCTGGCCAAACACTCAAATGAAACACAGGTGGAAGGGGAAAGTACCAAATGTCAGATGAGACCCAGGAGTAGTTGAGTGAGCTGACACTTTGCTGAGAAGATGTGTAATATTCCCAAAGTTATGTCATCAATTTGTGAAAATAAAGTACAAGATTGTGAGGTTATTAAGATAAAGTTTTGAAGTTAAAAAACAAAAAAAGCAAATTCGTTTTGTGGAAACAACCGATTATTAAATATCCAATTTGTAAGAAAAGGGCAAATCTACAGAACTTCCAGGTGCATATCATTAAACCATTTAAATTCACAAGGGAACCTTTAATAAATAGCATTTTTTTAATCTTTAAATTTTGTAGTGCACTTCCCATTCACTGTACTCACATATTTACATACTCAGCTATGCTCTCTGCGTGTCAGTGCCTGTTTACATTTTTTGGCCACACATGTACAGGACACATGGCAGCTCCAGTCCTAGGCATGTTTTCATTTAGTTTTGCTAATTTCAACAATTGTTACAACTCCAATACCATATCATGTATAGCATATATTTTTGAAACAATTGAGTGTTTTAGTTTTAACATTTGTTGTGTTGTCTTGACAACTGTAGAGTTTAAAAGATGGAAAATCATCCCAATCAATTTTTAACAACATTTTACACAGTTTCACAACCTTTGTTGAATTGGGGTTTCAAAGGCTTAAATGTAGCTAGCTATTTTTTACTGTACTTTCTCAATAACACACCATACCAATGGGAATTATTGCAAATTTAGTCGATCAGCTATTTACTCCTGTCTCTGCTGCCATGTTGGCTGTCACATCCCCTCTGTCTCTGCTATGCTGCCTCTACTGCTCATGTGTATACTGCCATTTGCGACCATGTCTCATTAATTTTGTAGGATATGCACAGTGGAGGCTCCAGACAGATGAACACGGGGACAGCCATTTTCGCATGCATGCAGTCGTAGTTAAAAGCAAGGCTTTAGGATGTCCCGCAGAAAAAGACTGCTGTTATGTCTCTGTTGGCCTCACATATCATAAAGTAATTTCCATGAAGTATGAAAAACTCAAATATAGAGCGATAAAAGGTGGGTAGATTTTGAAAGGTGCCAATGAATTTCCCTTTGGGGCTTAATAAAGCTCTAGTATTGTATTGTAAAAATGCAAAACTCTGATAATTCAATCGAGTGGTAAAATTTAATTAGTAAAGCAATGTAAGGATCTGGAAATTATGAGGGAGTCAGTCAAGGCCATCAGGGTTTTATATCATTCAAATTGATTTAACAGCGGCTATTTCAAGTTAGGCAGTTGGGCGGCCCGGGGAATTGAGGAAGAGTACTTGAATGAAAAGTATGAACCCCGCTTTCCTTTTTTAAAATTTAATAACTGACTCATCTCCACATAAAGCAGATTATTCATTCCAAAAACGTGTGAAATATGAAGATTGTTTCTGAAACTTCAGGTTGCGGTGTAGCATGGCAAACAGATTACATTATGTGTGTTTAAAGGAAATACAAACCTGCTCAGATTGTATTTTCAGCTCAATCTGCAGGCTATTTTCTTTCACACCTAAAGACTATTGCTTGTGTAACCACTCTCTGGCAGTGAGTTGTGTTCAGATTCGTCTCACCTCATCATGAAGGAAGAATATCTTGAAGCCTTTTGAGGTCACTCTCCATAAATGTGAAGGGATAAATCTCCTTGCAGAGTAATACAATCTTGTACGCAGGTTGGATTAAATATTTGTTGTGCTTCGAGTAGGGTAATAACATACCTCGCTGTTCTGGCAGTCTTATTATTTTCGTGTGAAAAGGATTGCAAGATCTATGCACCCCCACATCCACTCACAGACCCATGTACACCTTTATTCCACAAAGCATAAAAAGGAGAGACTAGTCTGCAGTGGGAATCCTCACCCAAGCTTAATTTGGACGAAGGCTGTGAGCTCTACAGAGAGATACATTAGTGTGAGAGGATGTTTCACTTTAGGGGGAGGGGGAGTCAAGGATGTTCTGTCAGAGAAAGTGAGAGGAAGGAGTAAAAATCACGTACTGGAGTGTTTGTGCCTCATTGTGTGTGTCAAATGTGAGCACACATACAGACAGCCGTCATAGATTTTAAGTTATGCGCCCAGAAGTCCTCTCTAAACAAGAACACCTCAGAGTGTAATAAATTATTGAACAGCATGGAGGAAAAAAGTCTTATGTATTATGACAGCAGGATCAATGATTTGTGCACTCTGGGCCTTTCTTCTCAGGGTCTCGACACATGCTATGTGCAAACTAGATACAGTACACAGGCTTCAGGATCCCAGGGCATTTTCATTTCTCTTACTATAAGGCTCCTCCTAAAGTTTCAACATATAGATACATAGGAGTTATAATCAACCTCAGCAGTAGAGAATAATGTAAAATGCCTGCATATGTGTGCATCATTACTCTACAATAATGAGGTCCCATGGGTGTGAAAAGGAAACTGAACATTTTGACACAAATTTTTAAGATCACTTCTTGCTCACAAATATTTTTCTTTCTTCCATTTTCCTATAAATAGTTGAGGATTTTATGAAACCCAAAACCAAGTCTCTTAGAACTGCGCTGACAAACTGAATCTGAAAATTCTTAGAAATTTGAGGAGTGTTCACATTTGCTAACATACAAAGATAAAAGGGGCGGGGGGTATTATGCATTTTTTCAGACCCTATATTTCCTATCTGATACCTCTTTAAAAGCTTTGTGTGATTTTTAGATTTTTTAAAAAAGTCTCAAATTTCTCACAGTGGTGTATTAAAATATTAATTTAGCCTCCGTCTGAAATGCTTCATTTTAGCTGCTGTCTCTTAAAGGCCCCCTAACATCAAGCACCTTTTCTTTCCTCTGACCCTTCCGCTGTTTATAACTTTTAAATATGTCCAAACTATTTACTGTTGAAACACCAAGATCATATCAAATCATTTGGGAAGTCCTTGCGATGACCACGGCTATTTTATCTGACAGGAGCTACAGTTTTGTTTGAGTAAGTCCAAATGTGGGACCAGTGCCAAAGATAAAAAAACTGAATTTTAGGATGTTTTAACCATAGACATTATATACATAGTCGCCTCATTATGTGCTGGAGCGTAATCCAGCGACGCCATCATATTGGATGGGCCTCCTCACTCCAGACTCGCACAAGAGCCAAACAGAGTCAATGGAGAACTAGCAACTATGCCCGTATTTGTGCACTTCACGGTTGAATAAACCGACGCAGTATTAAAACCAGATCATGTAGGATTACATTTCACAAGTAAGACTGAAAAATTACTGTGGTTATTTTGAATATGTGACAGTGTCCTGCATTACAGCTACATCTCTGTCGTTTGTAACAAACTAAATCAGTTTGTAACAAAACCCAAACCCACTTCCACAGGTTTCTGGAAAAGTGAAAGATGCAAAGCCTGGCTTTAGACGGGGCATCCCTGTCTAGTAGGCCCAGTTCAAGCAACCAACAGAGCCAAAGTGTCGTGTCTGCAGAGAGCTTGTAGCTTGTGAGCTTGTGTCTGGAGTTGCTGTGGTAGCCAAGGACATAACACCCCTTATAAATACTGACCTCATTTCAAGAAGTTTCAAGAAAACTATTTACTTGGTAACCTTCACAAACACAACAATCCTGAAGCCATCCTCATTGGTTCCCCTCATCAGATCCGAAACTCTGGTATAACCTGGATAACTTTCCCTGGCATTGGTATTGCTTTTTTATCAACAGCTACTAACCTTGGTGTCAGGTTTGACCACCATCTAACCTTTGAGGCCCACATCGACCACCCCAGCAAAATGTCATTTCTTCATCTCAGAAATATGGCCAGACTTCGTCCCACACTCACCTCAAGAGACGCTGAGAAGCTCGTCCACACCTTTGTCTCCTCCAGACTCGGTTACTTTTAATTTGTAATTGTCTCTTGTTTTACTCTTACTCTGTGTTTTTACTGTTTTTCATTCCTTTCATTGCTTGTGTAGGACTGAGATTTTGTAAAGGTGTGTTACAAATAAAATCTATTATTATCATTTATTATTGATCCAATGACTTCATCACTTGAATAACAGTGATCAGTCTGCTGTACTCTCTTATCTGGCTATACATCCCCTCTTTGCTGATTCAAAAAAACATAGATTTTGATCAGTGACAAATTTACGTACCAGATATGTCACAATCCACCAGATCAGCCAATAGAAAAATCCAATTGTACTAGCCTGTAGAGGGCAGCCATCACGCATATTTCTAATACAATATGAGGAATTTAAAGACTTCGTACTTCAATGTCAAGATCAAGGTCTGAATTGATCAAAACTACTCCTGAATACCTGCATGACCTGTTTTTAAAAGTGAACTGGTGTCTTAATGACTTTTTCATTGTATTTTTACCTAAAATTCTCATCCCTGTTTCACACCACCCACACACATGCCCAGAAACTATGGATCATAAAACTTAGCAGCTACTTAGCTTAGCATAGCAGGCTGCCACTGGAATTACAGTTTAAACAAATGACATGTATTTTTAGATTTTAAGTTATCTTTTGGTTGGAAGTAGTAAATATATTTTTCTGCTCATTTGAATTTCACAATACACTGTTGATTAGAATCGCTGGTTTACAGACTGTGTTGCCCATAAAAAGAACTGACTTTGTCTGCACTTTGAGGCATAAATCTGAACTTTTGCTGGAGTGACATATCAGTGCCAGTAGTCAACCTTTTTGTGCTAAGATCAGTTCGCAACAGAGGGTGAAAATATAGCAATCAAACCTTTACTTCAAAAGCCCAGCAAGGTTGTTTTACTAAGCTAACAATCAGCTAGCATGACTTCATAGTTAGAGGGTTATCTCTGGACCTATTCATTCAGAATCGTTTTTAACCAACTCTAAACAGAAAAGGTTGAATTGCAGGTAACAAACTGCTCTAAAAGAAGCTGTTTTTACCCATAAATTCTCCTCCCTTTGGTGAGTTAATTTAGTTCCATCTCCACCCCTGCAGTAACACTTAATGACAAATGAACATTGAATGCAAATAATAGATGAAGGTTACAGCGTTTTTGCTTGTGCTTCACTAATTGTAGAATCACCAAGTCATGTAAGAGAACGCTTCAGGCAAGAGCTTTTAAAACAGCGGCCTGAGCGAGTTATGGAGGTGGCATTTACTGTATGTTCAAAAGCCCGAACTCCTTTAATTATTGGTGTACTGTTCACATTTCTGTGGTCAGTTCTATTAACCTTTTCATTCAGAAATTGACAAGGGGATTTTGTGCATGAATTTAATCATGAAAAACAGACAAAACGAAGTCAGGACTTCACAGCTTCAGTTAGACATGAAGTCGAGAGTATGCTAAAAATGGACAGCATCTCAAAAATGTCTATAGATGGCTAGAAATATAGCTTTTTTAATTTATTTATCAAACCATTATTTAATCAGGTTAGTCCCATTGAGATCAAAGATTTCTTTTTCAAGGGGGGGCTGGCCAAGAATGGCAGCAAAGCAGTTTCATAAACAAAAACAAACACACTTAGTCTCACACAGCTCAACATCAGCAACAAGTACAGTACAAATATAACGTCAGCTAAAGCAATGGCATACTGACAGTTTGCTTTCAAGAGAACTAATAATACTATTATTAGTCTTCAAGAGAGCTAATAATACTAAAAGAAATTACAGCAAGTAAATGTGGTAATTATCATTTACAGTAATAAATAAAAGAGTTGTCACAGCACAGCTTTGAGGTTTTGTTTCTCACGCAGGTATAAAATAACTTCTTGACATGCTACCCTGACAATGTTGACTGAACAGATGTCGGTCCAACATACTGATAACATGCTGTGCTGAAACACCTGCAGGTATTAATCTTCCCTCTCGCCCTGCAGGTCGGAGAGTTTCGGGCTCACGCGGCCGAATGGACGGCAAACGTCTCAGCCGAGTTCAAAGAGACCCGGCGGCGGCTCAGTGTTGACATCTATGACAAGTTTCAACGCGCTGCATCCATCAAGCGCAAGCTGTCGTCCGAGCTGGGCATTAACACGTCCATCAATCAAGAAATGACCCCTGGCAAGAGGACGCTGTCGGCCAACCTGTGCGAGGACAGAGAAGCTTACACCAGCCTGACTCTCTCTCTTAGTCCTGTCAGCGGGGGTCTGGCTAGGAATGGAAGCCTTTATCTGAATGGCCTCAGCCCAGACTATGCTGACCGCCGGGAGATTGCAATCATTGAAAATTTAAAATGAGATGCAGCGATGAAGTGAGATTCACCTATCTGAACAAGTTACTGCAACATGGATTATTCATCAAGCTCTGTCTCACACAAATACTTGTGGTGTGATAGCTTCTAGATTTCTAAATCCAGTGGAGGAGCTCTTTATGTAACGTCAGTGATCAAGTCAAAGAAGAAGTCTGAAACATATGATTGTATCAGAGGACTGAAAGCCTATACTGAGGTTGAAACGCAGTTGGGCATCTTCCCACACACGCACAGACAATACTGTAAACATATAGACTTAAATACATTCACTAAACTTAGAAAGCAATAGATGTGTCTGTTCTCATCTCTTGTTGAATCTGAGGCCCTGAAATCTGCATCAGATGAAGAGGATCCTCACGGCACAGAACTCTCCATAATCCACCATGAACACTTCATGAACAACACAGCAGTCCTGTGCAAACAAAAATGAATGTGGCTTTTACTTTTTGTTTACACCTCTCCCAGTGTGATTTTATATGCCTTGCATTCGTCTGTCAGTCTCCCCTCACTCGAGACGAATGTTGACATTTTTGTTCCTCCATGATTGACTTAACGCTTTTCACCCTAAGGAATAATCCACTTGTGCCTTACTGGAAACCATGCTGAACATGTGAGGATGGTGATGCATGAAAGACTAGGCAACACTTTGTCTGTCCACTCATATTTGTTATATACGAGCACAGTGCCACAAAAGACAAATATATGTGAGAGGTATCTTTGAAAGTACAGACATGGACGTTTTCCTTTCAGTAGATCTAAGAGTGTGCATGGTAACAGAGAGCAGAGACTGTCTCTTGAAATAACTTGGAAAATGTTATCTCTCTGTCTGCCAGTGAATCCATTAAGTACCAGTCTTTATGTGCTGAGATATTTACATAAACCGCACAGTGCCAGGCTCCACCATCACTCCCCATTCTTCCCCTATACCAAAGTGATTTCTATTTTCTGTCGGACAAACCAGAGAGATCCTGAGTCTGATCAAAGGATCAGGAGTGCTTTCTGAATCTATTCCTGCTGATTTCTAAAAATTGAACCCACACTCCCAGCTTTTTCATTAAGTGTAGTGTAGAGCTTGATGTGCCATCATTTTCTTTTCTTCTCTTTTTTCTTTCTTTTAAACAAATTTGATATAAATTTAGGCATGTCAGGTACAGCAGTGATGAAAGCCCTGGGGCTGTGAAGCATAAAGAACTGTCAGTACCATATTGATTTTCATGATGTTATAGCTCTCTTCATTACCTTTAGATATCAAATTTGTGAATTTCTACAGCACATGATGATAAAAATGAGAACTATTACTTTTTCATTTTATTTTTGTTGCCAATACTGAATGTACACCATCAGTAACCTCTATTTACTGTGAATCACTGCTGTGACTAAATTGCCCCGCCTTTAAGAAGTCTGGAAAGCAGAATTTTTTTATTTACGATCATAGAAATGGTTTGAATGTCATTTAGGCACAATAAATATCTCACTTTAGTTCTTGATACTGAATACATGTTTTGCATTCATGTTTTGAGTGTACTTTCTTTGATGCATTTTCAACTCTGAAAGGGTTAGAATGGGTACCTTTCATTGTAAAGCTCTTTTAAGTGCTGTGTCTCCAAGCTGAAAGGTTTAGATTACATGTCCTCCAGTCTTATTCTGTGTTTTTATACAACCAAGATATGCTGTTATACTCTCAGTATATTTATTAATGCTGCTTTGAGCACAAGATAGTATTGAAAACACAATGTGACTGACAAGACAACATGCCATTTTTGGCAAGCTGAGTGTACTTTACCAAATGACTACAGAGAGCTATGTTAAATATTCTTATGGGGTAACAAGATGGCTTTTCTCACGACATAAACATATCGAATGACCACAATGACCTGAAATATGGGCAAGGAAGTAACCTAATGCTTCTGTGGCAAAATAGTAAAATCCTAGCTAATCTAAAATGTTACAAGAAAACATAACGCTAGCTTGCATAATATTAGCTAGTGAACAGCAGAATGTTAGCTATAGCTGTTATGCAATCGTAGACAGGAGCTGAAATTATTTTTTGTTGAATTGAGAAAGTCATGAAAGTCAAGCATTAACTATTGAATTAACGGTAACACTTTACAATAACCATAACTTATAAATGGTAAGCAGATAGTTTATTAATGTTTAATCATCATTTATAAACAGCATATAGACCATTAATAAATTGTACATTTTAGAATTTTAAAAACCTAACCCTAACCTTAACTTTACAATAACCATCTAATTAATGTTTATAGATGGTTTATAAACGACTTATTAATCATTTACAAAGTATTACAAACATCAGTTGCAACTTTACAATAACCATCTAAGTAATGTTTATAGATGGTCTAAAAACCAAATATTAACCATTTACAAAGTGCAACTGACACACATTTTAATCTAGATGTTTTACAACCAATATTTAAACCCTATATAAACCTTTAATAAGTATTGCATTAACAAGCAATGAAAAATATGAATCATTATTAATGGTAAAGTAACTATTAACTTAAATTAATAAACTATCTATTTACCATTTATAATTGGTCTGTATGCTGTTTTTAAATGATGATTAAACAATAACAAACTATCTATTTTCCATTTATAAATTATGGTTATTGAAAAGTGTTAACTTAAAAATAAATACATTAAAAATAAAAACTTACACTTGGGACCTAGCTCGCCTGACCTAGCTCGCCTAGCAAAGACAGCGAAATAGGCTAAGCCATATGGTCAGCTGCCTATGTCAGCTTAGGACATTTATAACACATTCACTAAAACAATATGGATAAAGTAAAAAAATGTTTATACATTTTGTCTAGATGACCAAATAACATTTGCTAAGTCAGAATAATAGCATCCTTACTCACTTTAAAGTTACTGCAAGGAACTTTGGGTTTGTGTTGACTTCGGCACCTCCTATAGCCAAACAGCAGCTAAAATCTATTGTTCTCTTTAACAGTCACTCGTGAAGGATCTTTCCCTCAGGATGTATGAGAAAAGGTGTTGTATGCAGCCATTAACTTGGTCTGACACCTACCTCCTATCATTGGTTTCTACCAGTAAAGGTTATAATACTTCTTGTTGATGGTTTTGCTTTTTCAGGGCTTTGAAAGACTTGGGTTATTAATTTCAGTCCCAATGTTGATATTAGTCTGTTTCAAAGCTTTCTCACAGGAGTTTCGATCAACTGTCATGCTAATAACCGTGTGAGTGTGGAAAGAAAACATAGGTAATACATACATGTCAACATGATGGGTTGGATATTTTGATCAAGGTTGTTCCCTCAGACTGAATATTTTTATTACAGACATTTCCTTTGATTTACTAAGACCACTTCAAGGTTTACAGGTCACAATCACAGACTGTAAAATATGGACAACAGGCCTTCATCTCCTACCCCTGTAAAAAAATGAAGATGAATTACAGCCACTGTTGACTCTGGCTTATTGCACAGGGGGCAGTATTTTAAGGCAACTAGCAGGTGAAGCCACCACATTGGCGCCTTCCCACTTCAACTAACTAACACACACATTAAACCTTACATCTCTCAAGTCGGTGCTGTTCACAGCAAAACAGATACCTGCAGCCACTCATGTTATGGAAAGCTCAGTAACTCTTGATGTTGCGTTTCCCTCTCTCTCTGTGAGAAAATGCAGGAGCCACATTCATCAACAGAGCTGTCAATCATGGTATAACATTGCCTTTTTCTTATATATTTTCTGACTAATTAAACTTACTCTGAAATATTAAGACTTGCCAATAAATCAGCATGATTGGAACTAATTATAATGAAAGAAAATTTGATCTGAATTTCAATTTTAATTTTATGCTCTACCCTGGTCCCATCTGTCAATGTGGGAAGGGGGGATCTGTAACCCTTTACTGCAGAGCGGTGGGTGGCAGTAGCATAGGAGGTACAGCGGTTGTCTAACAACTGGAAGGTTGGCAGTTCCATTCCCCATTATCCCTAGTCTGTCCGTTGTGTCCTTGGGCAAGCCACTCAAGCTATCTTGCTCCCAGTGTATGTCCTCCACTGGTGTATGAGTCATATGTCTGTCACTTTGGATAAAAGCGTCTGCTTAGTGACATTGTAACTACATGTTTTGTTTTCACTTCTGGGAAGCTGTTTAGTTTTCCATCTTACAATCTATGATCCAAATCAATTGGAAAAAAATTTCAAGAATAAGAGACTTCAACACAGAGGTGTCAGTGGATGAAGGTATATCAAGATATACACAAAGCTGGTTTATCCTCAGTTTTGGTTTAAATTTCGTTCCTCCAGTGAAACTTCTTTGTTTGCCAAAATGTTGGTTGGATCTGGATACTGGTTTGTGCAGAGCCTGCCTGACTGACTGGAAACTGACCTTTCTTGTCAAGGGATAGAAGTCAGAGAATTTGAAGAATAAAACACTCTGTAAAATAGCTCAGGTTCATAGAAAAACATTGTGTTTATATTTCTGTGTATCCAGAGCTCAATAAGAAAAAACTAACTGTACATTAGAGTGTCTTTTGATTCTCATAAAGAAGAATCAGTGGTGCACTGCTACCGATCATCTGGAGGAAAAACAATCCAAGCGAAGTGAAGATGCTCAAACCATAACCATGTCTTTTTTTTCCATGAGCTGCAGCGTGATTGACAGCTTCTTCGAGGCAATTGAGGGAGTGCTGTTTGTTTTGTCTTATGTAATATGCCAGGCTATGTATGACCACATGTGAGGCTCCGTGTGTATGAATGTGAGTGTGGGTGTGTGTGCATGAATGAACGTGTGAAAGCTTGTGTGCGCTAAGGATTTGGGAAACTCATTTGTTTTCCACCCACAGCATTTTCACATGGCATCCTCTTCTTCTCCCAAGGTGACAGCTTTTAATTAAGTCTGTAGCAGCATCATACTCCTCGTTCAAGCATGTTGAATATATCTATCCATTTCTGATGGCAGGGATGAGCCTCATTATAAATGTGAGCATATGAGTCATATTGTGATTCACTGTATGCATGCAAAGATGTTAAATTAGCGCAGTGGGAATGCTGTGTGAAAAAATGGCATTTAAATGCTGATGATCGATGAAAATATGATTATATTCCACTTAGAGTAAAAATGATCATAATAGTAGATCACAGATATCATATGGCTTCAGGAAACTTATTATACAATTTGCATCAGTCCCATAAAGACCCACTTTTCACAAACCCCATCTGCTTAGGTTAAGATTTTGTTTACTTACAATAATTTATGCATGAAAATATCATTAAATCAGACCTGGTATTTCAAGAGGTTCCAAATCCTTTTTTTTTTTTTTTTTTTTTCCAATAAACATGTACATGGCTGACAAATGCACATTTAACAAGTTGGAGAGAAAAATTACCTCTTACTGTCAGTTTCCACTCAGATCATGTGTGTTTTTTATTATTATTATTTAAAGTGTTCTAAGTGGTCTTTAAATTGTGGTTATAAAGTTTTTAGCCAAACTTAAGTTACCTGTGTCACTTTCAAGGGCTTTTATAATTCTAGATTGCCAGACAGAAATCTTAGAGTCAATATAAACTCTGTGTATAGTTTTTAGTTTTTCATTTTGATAAGTACTTTTTAACTACATCTCTGAAGCTATGCTCCTGTAAAACTTCAAAGCAGTGTCAAAAAAAAGAAGAAAAAAAATGGACATAATGGGATGCCTTTCTGTTTTGCCAAACTGTGTTCCTTCTCCGTACTGTTGGTCATCATGATTTTTTACAGTAACTGTGACTTAACAGCTTTTGTCCTAGCTAAACAACCTGCACCTGTTCTGTGCTGCACAGTAATAATGGTGTTGTGATCACATACACACCACAATAGACACCGGCTGATAATGGAGCAGTGCTGACAAACCGATCTGAGTCACAAGTTACAAAATGTTCTTCATGGATCACAAGCACAGTGTGCATCAAGAAAGCTGTTACACTTACAAAGCTGCATTCACACCTTCTTGTCATTTGTTTTTTTTTCTAACGTTCAGGATGTTCTGTTTTGTTTTTGGTTTATTCATCTGTGTGTCGGCCCCTCTGTGGCTTGTCTGTTTCGCATGACAACTTTAGAAACTCTCTTTTCTTCTCTCATATGTATGATTTTCAGGAAAACAAAATGTCATCTCTGTTGAAAGCAGAAAGGTTGAGACTATTCAAAGCTTTCTTGAGATTTGTTTCGAAAAGATTTATCATGTCAGAGGCTCACAGTTAAAGGTGGGGTAGGCAGGATCTGAGGAAGTGCCAGTTTTTTGGGAGAAATCTTGAATGTAAACTCTACCCCTCCCAACCAGTTTTCCCCTCAGCTCCAGCAAGCCCCGCCCACAAACAGACGCTCCTGTTCTGTATCTTTCTTTTAAATTCAGATATAATGCAGATAAATACTTCAGATAATTACAAATGGGGCCCAGTCAATGTGAAAGTAAAAAGCATTGGCGCTACTGTAGATGCCAACAGACTACCAACAAACACAATGTTTGCAGGACTTATACAACTAGGATAAAGTGACATACTCCGGGACCCGAAGTAAAGAGTTTAGCGGTGCTACAACATGCAGCAGTTGTACACTTGGCTTATTTTGTTAAAGCGGTTTACCTGTCCAGCAGAAAGGTTACAGGGTCCGTAAGATTGGCAGTTGTGGCCAAAGGAGGATTCAGACAGGTTTCTGTACTTTCTGGTTGGTTTCTACTGTCCGATGTTGTAGCACGCTAACTTTGTTTGGGCTCGTGAACGACACGGGGTAGTAGCGTCTGCCTCACAACCAATCAGGTTGGGGGAGAATGGCGTTGTTTACAGTCAGAAAGTGTGGGCCGCTCAAAAAATTTTAAATGTTGACTACACAGACATAACAAAACACAGCGATATCGTTATTACCAAATATCATCAATAACTAATATCAATTGACTGATATTAAAAGCTTTTTTGTATATACACCACAAAAAAAAAGATGCTTCTTTAATGGAATCCTGCCTACCCCACCTTTAAGAAAAAAACAGTGACATCAGGGACATTACATAACATACAGTAGCTCTTTTATTGATGGCAAACTTTTTTTCCTTTTTTTTTTTTATCTCGATCTTTTGGGAGTGAAAATTCAAAAAGTTGCAGTTTCCGGTTTAAGAGAATATATTGTGTTGAAGACTATGCTGAAGAATAACCATAGGTCATCGCACAACCTTAACACATCACCTTTGATCAGATGTACAACAGTAAGTTTATCGTAACTAGACGCAAATAAGACCATCAATGAAATATTGTTTTAATCTGATTAAATTTTAATATTAAAAATGATTTATTGACTGAAGTATATTCGCATCCCATCTTTTTAGACCCCTTGTATCAGGTGGAAATGTAGCTGGGCCTTTTTATGAATATCAATTTCTATGTTGACCCTGTCTTCTTTAAACACACCAACATATACGCTAACAACGCTTTAAACTATCAATCCAAGTGAAGCACTTTCTGAAGGACCGGTAACATTTGGAGCTTAAGATGTTGTCAGCCATGATGCCAAGCGCAGAGTGACATTGGACATTACCTTCCAGCCTCTGTACTGTCAGCAGACAAACACGACCATAGGCACGTTCTGTACTCAGATGCAATCTTCATACTGAGAGGGCCCAACACCTGACTCTGTGCTCATCAAATAGAGGTCAGGAAAAAGGTGCTTCAGTCTGGCTTAACAAAAACAGAGAAACAAATGATGATAATGGTGATGGTTGTTAAGTGTTTAACTATGAATCATCTATGTGCTACATTTTTTCACAAACAATCAGAACTCAAATCAGCTTATTGGCTGAATCTTCTATAACTCTATTCATGATCCTTTGCAGCGACACAGAACTCTGTATAAGCGCTGCTTTGGATTCACCGAGGTTCAAAAAGGGAGCATTATGCACCCTGCAGACATGCGACCAAAGAACCAGCTCGGTTGGAAATCTGTTGGTTTGAAAGTGATTCTGTCTGCGGTGACATCAGAGAAACATGGTGACTCAGCCACTAACCGCTGCTGTCTCAGGCTGGAGAGGTACATGGTGAGAAAGGCGGTTACCTCACATGTCAAGTGGAAGCAGGGGCTTTGTGTATATGTGGGTGTGTGGAATAATAGCATGTGACACGTCCCTTGCAGACTGTCTACAGTATTATTAGTATAATTGGTCTGTTGCTTTGCCCTTCATTTTCCTACTTTTGGTTGCTGTTAGTGAGAGCTGTGCAGAGAATTGGTGGCCTCACTCACATTATTAAAAATACTGACAGTATTGGGTTTTGGCCTGATTGTGTCCACTGTGAGACAATCATTATGACATCCATTTAGTGTTTTGTTAGCTTTTTGAACCAAGCAGCTTTATTGACAGCCTCAGCTGGATAGGACATGTCGTAGCTGATTGAGAGAGACAAAGCAACCCGAGGTTCTTTGAAATTCAATCGATGCACACCAACATTAGTCCAGCAGCAGGTCCTCAAAAAAGGGCTTAGTTTTTGAGATACCCCTACCCGAGTTGGAACCAACCACAACCATGTTTTTTCTTGTCTTTGGTGTCTCCCATTAATTAAATGGATTGTTGTGAAATTTTATTTTGGGGCAAAATGTTTTTTTTTGTTTGTTTGTTTGTTTGTTTTTTTGGCTGTTCTTTACACCTACCCAATCTCTGAAAAGTGAAAATCCAAATGGGGCAGATGTGCCAAAAAAAGCCAATAACTTGACAATTCTCACTCTTTTTTTCATTGAATTTGCTGAGGTATTAACTAGGTGTCACCAAAAAGTCAGAAAGTAATTTACCTAAATAAATAGTGAAATATAATCCTTTATACCTACCTTTAGTTTAGGCAGATATTGTACTTTTGTGGTGAGGTCTCCTTTACTTTCCCTGATTTACCAAAAAAAGCATACATTTTTGTCAAATAAGCTGTTTCTGCATTGCCTAAGATGCTATTAAACAATAACTAGTAGTTGTGTGGAGACAACTATTACAGCTTATTGCAAATTAGACTTCTTGAGACAAAGACCTTCTCTGGAATCGTTAAACATTATTTTCATGTTGGCATAACACTTTACTTTTTGATAAAATAAAAAGTCAAATTCCTTCTGAGTTGGCATTGCTTAACCCTCCCTGAATATCCATTGTTGTGTTTTGGGAGTATGTATCCTTATTGTGGCAATTAATTATGAAAGCAGAACTATACTCAGTAACACATTGCTGTGTGTGGCAAGGGCAATATAAAGTCCTGTCATTCATTAATAGAAAAATCATTGTCATTATTTTTTTTTTAATTCAGTAGCAAGAACTTTATATACACCCAAACAAACCAAATGTGCATAAATTCATTAATTCAGCTGAGAATCAGAGGCCTCTAAATACAGAAAAGCATTAAATGGAGTCCTGTTAATTAAAGAAGTAAATTGAAGTCAATTAAGTTCATCCAATGGGAGCAGGGGAAGAACCGCACAGGGGCAGGGGGAAAAATATGCACTGTGCCACAAATGGAGGGACTCCCCAATCAAATGCCCCAAAATAAAATTTCACAACAATCCATTTCATTAATGGGAGACCCTAAAGATATGAAAAAACATGGTTGTGGTTGGTTCTAATTCGAGTAGGGGTGTCCCTGAGGGCCTCTGCTGCGAGAGTATAAGATGATCTTTACTCTTTAAATTGCTTTATATATTTCTTTCAGCCCGGATTCATCTGTGAGGAGTATATACAGTATTTACTTACAGCCAACTGCCATTTATCACATTTGGCATCGCCAGTTGACTCCCATCAGCCTGTAGAGAGGAGTCACCTCACTGACCAAAGCATGATGATGAAAAAGATGCCTTTTTCTCAAAAAACCTACAACCTGGTTATTTACCAAAGTGCTTATCCAGGTAGTTCTGTGTTCCCTGAAACAAACTCAAAGACGAATGACTCAGCTAGATTTGTCTGTGGAAATGTGTAAATCAGTTCACCTGAAATCAACCCCACACAGTCAGGCTTCAGTGTTAAATGACCTAATTTCTGTGTTTTTATTTCATCAGCAGATTAAATGTCACAGCTGGCAGAGCCCCTCAGTGTGCTGTAAACCCTCTTATAAGAATAATACAAGGTAAATATTGGGGTTAAAAAAATACTTTACAATACAATTTTAAATCACCAATCAGTGACTGTTTGTTTTGGTTTGATATACAGTTAAAAAGATGTGTTATCATTCAAAAAAGATGACTGTGGTATCGACCTTGTGAGGACTGATGTTGATATGTCAAAAATAAGAGAGAGAGAGAAGTGGAGAAGGAGTGAGAGAGATCCAAAGACCGTGAGATCGACGGATCAGGAGATCCAGTGATCCAGAGATCGATAGATAGAGAGATTGAGAGATCCAAAGATTGATAGATAGAGAGATCCAGAAATCAAAAGAATTATTTCATTTGTAAAAGTCTGAACAGACACAGTTGTCTTATTTGAGTGTAATGGAAATTGAAGCTGAGAGCATGGAGGAAAACACCTAGACGTTACCTCCAGCCAAACATGTCCACCTAAAGATGTGGACATCTTAAATCTTTAATAACAGGATACCCTGAGCATGGACAGCAGCTCCACATGCACCTTTGTGTGATCTTCTGCAGAGTCAGACATCTCTAAGAGGACCACATTTGACATAGGACCAGAGGAGAGCAGGAGTCTGTCCTCCACCAGCTCAGATGTAGAGGAGGTGAGTAAAGAGACGGTCAGGACTCTGAGCCTGCAGTACAAACTAAGTTACTAAATTATCAAGAAACTGTTTGATACACAGGATAGGAAAGAACTTACAAGATCATTTTTAAGGGTTGACACAATTTAACAAGAAAATTTAACATCTGGGCAAGATAATGAATCATTTTGCAGGGAAAGAGTTTTTTATTTTTAAGATTTAGAGCAGTCATTACTTCTGTTTATCAATTGTTTGACAAAAACTCGTTTTTTACATCAGTTAAGTCTAAATTCATAATTTATTTCTTCACTGATTTCACTGTTGTACCCTCTCTAGACAGATGGTTTTAAAATGACTTCTTATCTTAGCTCCAGTTTTACAGCTTTTGTTTGTTTGTTTCTCCTCCAAATGTCTTATTTGACCATAACAGATAATAAACCAGAGAGCATGGAAGAAACCCCCATCCCTCCTGAGTTCCCAGTAAACCTGGCAGAGGTTATATAAATAACCTCACTGTGTCTACGTTTTTTGAAGATCCTGATGAGCTTCTGGAGAGTGATGATCTGTTGGAGGGCCAAGACATTACCTCCAGCCAAACATGTCCACCTAAAGATGTGGACATCTTAAACCTTCCACAACAGGATTTCCTGAGCAAAGCCAGCATCTCCACATGCACCTCTGTGTGGTCTCCTGCAGAGTCAGACATCTCTGACCACATTTGGCATCAGACCAGAGGAAAGCAGGAGTCTGTCCTTCATCAGCTCTGACGTAGAGGAGGTGAGTGAAGAGGCTGTCCCTCCAAACTTAATTAATCTCCAATCATCTTTGATGGGCATATTTATTTCCATACATTTAGATGAACTTTGGATTCAAAAAGATGTCAGGTAAAGCTCACAGTCCTCTCATGTTTGTGTTTCTTCTCCAGAAGTTTGATTGCAGTCACATGGACGAAGAAGAAAGAGAACTGATGAACTGTGACGATCTTCTTGAGGATGAAGACTTCTTCCACAGTTCTTCACCAGCAGATGAGACAGAGTCAAACAGTTGGACTTAGGGCTCCCTCAGGTTGGGACTGCAGCTCCACATGTGCCAATAGAGTTGGCTATTAATCCCGTGAGAGCAAAAACCAAACAGATGAATCTGTGAAGGTCCTCAAGATAGAGGTGAAGAGCTGTCTCCCAGGACCCTCAGACAATAAAGATGGGGATTCATCCCCCTTGGAAGAAACATGCAGAAGAGGAAACAGTATCCTCTGATGTCCCTGCTCCTGCTGCCTCTAAGACATTTTTTTAAATTGAAGTTCAGAGGTCGTCTGAGGAGAAACATTTCTGATAAAAATGAGAAGGAGACAGAAAAAAGAGGTTCCTACAGTGGATCAGAAGGAAGAGAGTCCAGCCAACCCCCCTCAAAAATGTGAATGAGGTCCAGTCTGACAGCAGCGCTGGAGAGAACAAAAAGACTCTTACCTCCAGTGAAGACGACCCCGTGGCCAGTTCTCCTCAGCTGGAGGACAATGAAACATTTTTGCCGTGTCAAAGCAAAATTTCCCAAAATATCACGAAAGTCAAGGTCCAAGATCTCTGTGGACCACATTGAGCCAGAACTCGAGGGTCCAGAAAACAACCAAAGTGCTGAACCAAAATCCAAGAAGAGCAAGCGGCTCAGGAAATTCCTCAGCAATACATTCTCAAAGGTAAGGATGGATTTACTTGTGAATTGTTAGGTGGTTCATGAAGGAAATATGCTGCAGTGGTCCAGACCTGATGTTTTTGGACATTTGGAGTTGATATTTCTGGACTAATTGTTTGTCATTTTTACATAAAGATTGAGAAGAAGCTGAGGACAGAGGAGAAAGAGGAGAAGAAGGAGGAGAAGGAGGAGAAGGAGAAGGCTTCAGCTGACAGTGATGTTGGCTCACCTCCATTCTGGGTTCGGCTGGTCTGCGGCCGTCAAGTCAGACGCTTACACCCAGAACTTTAAAATCAGGACCAGCTTACGAGGCTGGCCTGAAAATGTTCTCTTTTTGAGTAAACAAAGAGATAAATAAATGAAAGGAAAAGAGCCTCTCTCATATAATCCTTTTTTTTAATCAGTAAACCCTCATCTGGGAGTTATTCAGGAGTAATTATACACTTTCAAACAAACCAAACAGGTCTAAAAAAGTCCTATAAATCCATGATTCACTTCAGAAATTCACATTAATCAAACTGTCACTTTTGTCATTTTTTCAGTGTAAATGTTTGGCCAATAACACCAAATCAAATAGATGTCCAAATTAGCTCTGAATACAAGTTGGAAAGAGAGTGAAAATATGCTCAGAGAGTTAATAAAAAACAACAACTTGATATAAAAAATTGTGAGAGGATTTTACTTCTAAAAGACTATAATCAGTGTTGTGATAAAAATCTTACGGTGCAATTTAGTTGTTTAACGTTTCACTGAACTTGCAGGGAATGTTGGCTCTTTGTGTTACAGCGTCTTATGAAAATAATGCAAGGTAAATATTAGGGCTAAAGTCATGTACTGATTCCATACACATTAAAATCTAATACACATGGTCGTCTTGGACAATAATATGTTTTAGGAAGTATTTGTAATGAACCGATGAAAAGACACAAATATTGGGTTATGCTATTGATTGACAGATGGTGAATTGAATCAACTTAAACCAACATGCAACTCTGCAAACTGAGCATTAGCATGTAGCTCATAGCATCATGGATGGAGCCAGAGTCCTTTTGAATAACTGGTATCTACTTAATATCTCTTGGCTAGAAAACAAACCCTACAAAGAAAAACCGGATATGATCAGGGAGATCTGTAAATGAAACCAGTTTAAAAAAGCTAGACTAGAAGATTGGTTCACATGCATGCTAACTCTGCTAGGCTAGGCTTGATATCAAGGCTGGAAGTAGGAGAAACTCACTAGTCTGTATCCATCGAAAGCAAAACTAGTCATGACCATCATGTCATTAAACTCTGGTTGTTTTTTTTTAACTATTTTAGCACTGCTGTGGGCTAGAGGCTAACATTGGTTTGGCCTCTTTGTGTGTGATCAAATAAAAACAACACTTTTTATGAAGCTACTCTGAGTGTTTCAACCTTTTATGTTGTTTATGTTAAGCTAAGCTAACCCCCTATTAGTTCCAGCTCTCCACTCAGTTAGTATGGTAAGTCGAGTCAAAATTTGATTTTGGGCTCTTGATATCTGAAGAGTGTGGGGGGAAGGGGGCGGGGGACTGTGCACTACATGCTCACTTCCTACCTACCCAGCTATCATAATGACCATTGTTCTATTCTACACATAACATTTTTTTTTAATTCATGAAACACTAAAAATGGGGACATTTCCGGGGACAGTTTTAGCACGGAACAGGTCATCCAAAACGGGGACTGTCCCTGGAAATCGGGGACGTCTGGTCTAACTAAGGGGATTTAACTGGGCTACTGTCCTTGTCTCAGTTTACAAGCACCTGGCAAAATTGGAATTATCAACTGAAGCATGTCCGCCCCCGCAGCAGTAGGTGGTGACAAGCCTGCTCAGCTTGTTACTATCAGGTAGTCTCCCTGCTGATGTATTTAGAAGTCAGCAAAATGCCTGGCAAAAGACCAACAGGTTGTATGTCAAAGGTTGAAAACACCGTCACTTTGACTGCTCTGTACTCTTCGTTTGTACTCTTTTCTTCCAGGCTTCCTAGCAGCACATTTGTGCCATTCTATACCTTATTTTTCAGACTGAGTGAACTGTATACATGAAAGAGAAAATCGCCTCCAACGGCATTGTATAGGTGTATTAACCTAACTTTGAGAAATTTGATTTAGAGCAATTTCAGTCAGACTAATGTGTTTAAATGTTTTTTAAAGTCCAGTTTCAGTCAGACTAAAGCAATACATTGATTTTTAACTGCATGTTAACCTACTGAGTGAATTAACATGATTGCTTTCATTGAGCTACCCATGTGGCTCTTATTGAAAGCCAATCAGCATACTGATCCAACCTTTAATTAAGTACTTGTGACCCCACTTTCAGAAATGAACCAAAATTGATTAATTGTTTTCTCTGACAATTCAATCTGAGCTGCTGACGACATTGAAAGATCTACGCGTCTACGCGTATGCTTCACTCTGAAAAGGTGACAGCTCGCTGTGATAATTGACCTTTTTAATCAGATAAGCACAAAAGCCAAGTCCTTAAGTCAACCTGAAAAAAAAAAACAGACAGACTCTTTAATCTGAAGAGGAACAATATCAACTTTGACCTTTCACTGACTCTAACAGTGTTTTCTTGTCGTGTTCAGTCTGCTGCAGATAGGAAATCCTCTCACGCTGGGAGAATGAATGGCACCCTGACCTTTACTGTATCAATACTCCCTGTGGTGCATGAATACAAAGTCAGAGGAAGTGTCCTTGATAAATAGTAATGACAGAGACCCAACCATTAGGCTTCTACGTACCTGGAATAGTCCCCAAGATGTGCTCTTTTTCTCTCCTATATTTTTTATGTATTTTAGGTACAGTTTTTTTCTTCATTACAACCTTTTTTTATGATTAACTGTAGATTTGTAGTCATATAACATGTAATATATAAATACAGGTGCATTTCTTTGCAGTTTTGTTCTCAAACTAAGACTTTTACTGAGTGGTTGAAGCCCCTCTCAGAGCCTGTGCAAATGTGAGTTTTTGCCTGAAGCATTAGTTTTGACTTCTCAGCCCCAGTAGGGGACAGATTGCTATTCCTTTAGACACATTTATGATTTGACAGAATTTCTCATTGCTCCTGTGCCCTTGAATATTGGGGAAACTTGCTGTTCCAGCTTTCTCTCTGAAGTTGGCTGAAGGAACAAGTTGCCCCAGTTCTGTCTTCCAAAAGCAATTTTACTAAAGTACTGTTCACATCTTTCCTTTAGATATCGGGGTGTGGTTGGACTTTAAATGGTGGGAAATTGCTTCAAAAATTCAGAAATTCAATGAATCAGAGCTGATGTTAGTTCTTCAGACATGATGATGCTTTCCAAAACTAGTCACTTGGAATTTGTTTGGCAGGGTATTTGACAAAACTCCAAAAAAATGACAAAGAATTGGAAAATAAACGTAATATTATGAACTACAGAGCAAAGCTTTAGAAGAAAGCTCATTTGTATTATTGTCTTTGTATTTAGAGACAGCATACATCAGTTTCATCACAAATAGCTTTGAAATAAATCCTTTGCAAAAAAACATACACTTTAGTGTTATTTCCTTAAAAAAATATTTTTATGCTTATCTAACGCAAATTATCATAGAATTGTTTTCTTCTGTTGAAAAAAAAACTGCCAGTGGAATATAAAAAAATCACTTACATTTTCATGAATGAAGAATTTGAGTTCATGATTAGAAAACAGAGAATTTATATTATTTTTTAAGAACTCTAAAAGTAATATATTTCTTATTCAAATTGCATATGTTTTTTTTAATAATTGAAAACTATGAAGTTCTCATTTTTGGAATCTCATTTCTTAAGCCTGAAAAGACATCTTTCACCAACAGTAACCATTTCTTAAAGTAATGTGAACTACTGATGAAATATATACCATATATTATTAGTGCCAATTTCATATTCATATTAGATATTAACTGATAGGATTTTATTTGTGTGACCTAAATGTAGCCACATAGCAATACATTTTACAGGGATGCCATTAGACACTCATCAAACCATATAATACCTCAGGCCATGGATTTTTCTGGTTTCCTGGCAGCAAATTGGAACTTTTTCCTCCATACCTCCACCCGACAGCTCGGTCTGTCTTATTAGAGGCCCTGACAAGATGTGTCAGCAAGTTACTGGTGTTGAAATAGTCATTGCTTTTCTCATAATTTACCACAGCCAACTTCTGTAAGTTGTGAGGATGTCTTTTGTTTGAGGTGTTGAATTACTGCTGGTGCACCAAAGTACTTTGTATGAGAACAGCTCCTTTGTCTTCCTGTTTGAGAATTCTATTTTTTTTTTTTTAGATTCTATCTCTCTACTTTGTAGTTATGTGCTTTATCTTCTCATTTCCAAAGACCCCATAAGTGTAAATAATGTAAGAGGACAGCCCTTTCTGCTGTGTGTTGTCTTTCTGTTTCCTTCTGTAATTCCAAAGATACAAAAACTCAGAGATGACTCTAGGCACAAACATGCAGAACAGGCTGCAGCTTTGTTTGTGTGTGATCTGGATCAGGAACAGCAGGAATTGGGCAGAAACTTTTATCCCTCAGGTTCAATACCTCTAAATGATTTGTGGTATTTGCAGGACCTGTCTCCTGGCAGCTTCGTGGTCATGATAGGAATTCTTGATGTGCTCTCCTCAACAACTGCTCCTCCAGAAGGACTCACAGCACATAATTAAACAAATGAGATACAAAGTGTTGATTATAGAGAGGTTGGCAGGCCCCACTTTAAATAGACCCAGGCTTGCCCTCTCTTTTTCTGGTCAGTTAATTTAAGCTCAGCCAGCTTTTATCTCGTGTTAATGCACACGTGAGATGGAAATATCTGACCTTACTAGCGATAGTTAGCAAAATAAGTAAGTATACAAACACTGAATTTTGGTGTCATATTGTTAAGCCACTCAAGCACCTAACTTGATCCTAGACATGGCAATTAAGTTCTGCAGGGTAAAAAGTCAGCTGTTTGCAGCATGCGACCTCCCTTCACTTTGTAAACAAACTTTTTCTTATAAATGTTTAAGAACTGAAGAAACAAATGAGACTTGGTGAGTTATATGAATGTCATCCCTCAGTGAGAGACTGCATAATAGGAGAGATCCAGAGAAAAAATGACGTTCCTCAGCATAAAATTGCAAATAACTTTGGTATTTCATCACCCACAATTCATAATGCAGCCAAAATACTCAGAGAATCTCTGTACAAAAGAGCCAAAAGCCAATACTGGATCATAATGATGCATCAGATTTTTAGAGCGCTTTTATCAGAGACCCTCAAAGCGCTTTACATTG